AACTCAAGCATCTCCTATCTGAAAAACAAGTCTTTTCTCTAGGCCATATCTCCCTCTACCACCTACTCTCCCTCCTCCCTTTCACAGCCCAACTTATTTGCTGCCTAAACTCTTTACTTCGTCTGCTCTTGTCATTTATGTGCAAATTGAAGTCACCAAGGATGATAGGAATATTTGTTGAGAATACAGTGACCCAGGTGCTAAACTCTTCAATAAATGGGGGTAAAGGAATGCGAAAGCCTAAAGGTCAGGAGATGGGACTGCTGTACAGTCTTAAAGAGGAGAAGGACCATTCAATTATGACCAATCACTAATATCAGAATGAGGAGCTTGAAGCCAGATTTATACTAGTTAAGGGAAATAATGTGGCATTCTTTACATAGAGGGAGGGGGAGGAAAACCATTGTGGAAGAAACTATATGTACATGTCTGTGAATATGTATATACATGTATGTGTATGCTATCATTTATATAAAATTGTGTAAGTGTGAATGTGTGTATGTGTCTGTAAGCATAAAATTATGTCTGGAAGAGAGTTCACCAAACTATTGATAGTGGCTACCACTGGGTGGTAGGATTTTGGGTAATCTTTACCTTTTTTATCGTGCTCTTTTTAAATGCTTGAATATTCTTTCAAAATATGTGTCATCTTTGAATTTAGGAAGATGCAAAGTTACTTACCATTTTGGGAGAAAATTTTAATGGGTTGTTCTGAAGTGGCTCTGGTCCTTGCCTTATCTTCAATTTAACTACATGTATAATGAGCAGGAGAACAGAAATAAGGAGCAGATGGGAAGTGACTTAGTCGTCTTGTACCATGGGATTATTAGATTTAAGCAGATGGGTGAAAATTTGTTGTAGGAACACATCTGAATCACATCTAGGCACAAACCTAGAGGCAGAGGCTCATCCCACTTCCTGACATTGGAAAATAAATCAACTTTCAAGTTTTTGCTTCCACCAGAAAAAATGATAATGTTGGAATTTATTGAATAGCAAAAACTAAACATCACATTATATGAGATAACATAAGCCAAGCACCGCTACCAAAAAAAAGCCACAAGAATTTTGTTCTCTTTCTTTAGAAAATATCATATTTAATTTGTTGCAGTTGTTACAAACCACTAATCTGAGTAAATATCATGAGCTTGTAGTACTTATTGTCAGAGTTATTAGATTGTGATTTTATGGGCCCAAAAGGGATATATACTCTTGCAACTGCTAGAATATAGCACTTAATTTTTATCACACTGAAAGATGATGTTTCCTTAAATTACTTGGAAAAATTTCTTCAATTGCTTGCTAATACATTTAAAATTTTTTGATCTTTTAAAAAATAATAAAGACTGAAAGCATTAAATTATATGCATAAAACAATTAGCATACATACTCTCCTGTGAGTGCCACTACAGGATGACAAACTCAAAATAGAAATGTACATACTCTTCCATCTGTATAATGAATATTGACCACCAGTTTTGTTTTCGGCATTGAGTTGGGAACTGGGAGTAGCATGGTGATAAGACAGCAATCATTGTCTTAAAAGATGAGTCTAATGGAGATCAGACAAGTTAGTAGGCAGTTACACAGAGTGGCATCTGCTTTACCTGGGAATGTGCAGGGTGCTCATGTGAGCACATAGTAGGGGCTCCTACCCCATTCTTCAAGAGTAAGGGAAGGTATCTTGAAAAAGTTCAATAGAATTTCTTTTATTCATGGTCTTAATACAAAATTTAAATCTCTTTTAATGGTATTTTTCAAAAGACCTCTAACTTTTACCTTCTCTGGCAATATCTGAAATAAGTTACTTCAGGATTATGCCACTTAAGTAGGATATGATGGGTGGCATTTATTATACCCACTGTGACTTGGATGGACACCTTGATAAAGCTCTATATGTGATATCTAGAGAATATGTAGGAATCAGGACAAAGGAGTATGGGCAAGGGACAAGGACAAAAGATAGGGTAACAGGAGTAATAGTGACATTTGTCACCAGGCAGCATTTTAAAATGGTGTTTCTCTTTGAATAGATAGTACACTTCCATAAAAATGTGAGTAAACATGAAAATCTTTGAGATCCTACCTTTTAAAGCCATTTTTATCTACTGTCTACACATCTTGAGTCTAAATTTCCCTCACTAACTGCTCCAGCCCCTTATTTGTGAGAGTATTCTCTGTGATGTGGTGGCCTCTGCAGCTTGTATCCCAAGACCATGACGCTTGCTGGCCATAGTTGATTGGATTATGGAAAGACAGACTATGCATGGTCAATCAGATTCCTTGAGAATTTGGAATTGTGACTTGGAAGTAATTGTTGGACTCCATTTGGCACTTAAACAAGAAAGTGAGATAAGACGGGAAAAACAAACAACAACTCCACCCCCCAACCCTGCCAGCCTCAACAAACAGGTGCAGAGAAGGAAAAACAAGAGACAAAGTGATGAGAAGTAGGGATAGAGAAGGAGGGGGAGAGTAGGGAAGAGCACCAAAGGTCTTTGTTTTAATGCCTCGTGAAGTCTGTATTTCCTGCCCTTTGGTTCCATGAACCAAATATAATTCCTTATTTTATTATATAATTCCCCTTTTACATAGACTAGTCAGAACAGGTTTCTGTTTCTTTGTCAAATTCTTCCTAAGGTAGCAACAGAGTAAAAGACATGGATAAAGTGTCTCTTTTACCTCAAGAAAAATACTTGTGTGCTATCAGGTGTAGAGATAGAGGAGGGGGCAGTGTATACTAGAGATATCCTGAGCCCCCACTGGACCTTTAGGTGTTGCTTCATGACTGTCATTTGCATGTGTGTGTGGGATTCATTTGCTTAACAGCCCCTCCTGTTCCTTATGCGCCCCCTTAATGCTTCATTTTGGCATTTACCTCTTCTGCCAACTGCCTCAGTTTCCCTTTTCCCCATTTTCTACATGCCCAGGGAAATAGGAAAAATGTCTGATTATGCTGAACTTTTCATAATAGACCACAGGCATGCAGATAGGCTGCCATAAATGGTTTCTAGTCAGTTTCCTCTTCTGTACCATTGAAGTACCATCTACTCTTCAGAATTGCTATGAGGGTAAGGAAGGTAAAGTTAAGTGCCTAGTACCACATTTAGTAAATTTCTATCTATAATATTTTAAATGTTTTATTTAGAAATAATTTCAAACTTAAGATTGCAAGAATAATGCAAATAATGCTTGCATACCCATTACCCGTTTTTTAAAACATTTTGCTTCATTGATTTGTTTATGTCTTTCTGTAATTTTGTTATGAATCATTTGAGAATAATTTGCATACATTACAGTTACATATCCCTAAATACTTCAGTGTGTATTTCCTTAGAATATAATCTTACATAAACACAGTACTTATAGACTTAAGTAAATCAACATTGATACAATACTGTTTTCTAATCTACCATCCATATTCTAATGGTTATTTATTGCTTAAGATCTTAAAGACAGATACTCAAACAGGAAAGAAAAATGACTGGTAAATGCTCATCTGGGCCGTAAGGACTGTTCAGAGTTGTTTACTTTGCCTTAACTAGTAAAGCACATCTCATGTAATCATTTCTCAGAATTAAATATTATTTTAACCTAAGGGTTTCCAGCTCTATTTTTACATTGTTGCCTACTCTTTATAGCATTTCACTGATTCAGTTTATAGTTCCTTTTTTGAAGTTTTAATTTTCTTAACATGTCCATTTGTCAAAATTAGCCATTTTTCCTGATTGCAAATGAGGCAAAACCAAACAAAGAATAAACAATTTTGTGACTTATAACATATTAACTATATTAAATTTAACTTTACAGATTATAGATATTTTGCATTAGGTCAAAATTCTGATCTTTTGGACAAAATTTGACCATTATTATGGGAAAATGTATATCAGGTATATATTAGAAAAATAAGACTTTTTCAATGCAAAATGAATAAAAGAGACTACAAAACGAACAGGTTACACTAATCTCAAATAAGTGCAGAATTATACTTAATGCTAGGTTAAGAACTTTTCCCATTTCCTGTATTCAAATACCTGAGGGCACTAATATTCCATATCTTAGTGCCTATAGCACTGAGTCCATCAATAAAACTTGATTGTCTTCTGTATCGATGTAATTTTTTCTAATTTTTTCTTGTGCATAAATCTTACTGCTCTACCCAAGTCTGTAAACAGAAAACCAAGAATTTTAAATATTTTTCTTTAGAGTGCAGCGCACAAGATAAGTATTCAGTAGCACCAATTACATGTTGTTTGCCGGAAAGAGAAATGGATACCTGTTGCAACATATTAATACAGACAAGCCTGCTTAGAGAGTCCTGAGTCCCCTACTTAGCTGGCTGTGTGGCCTTGATTAAGTCATAACTTAGCTAAGTTTCAGTTTTCTCATCTGTAAAATGGGGTTAATAATAGTTACTGCCTCATAAAGGCAGTGTGAGATTGGTATAAAAACTTTGCAAATAAAACAAGCCTTGTGAGATAAGTCTAGTTTGGCCAGTATTTCCATTCTAAATTTCAGTACTCAGCATATTAACTTAATGTGCTTTTAGGTTAACTTTTATACCAACAGTTGCATATATCTCATCATTTACAAGTAGCTCAACTGAAATAGTCTGAGTCACCCATAAATACGGCAAAGTGAAATAAAGCCACCTCTGAAGCACCCAAACTCCCAAGCAGGGCCTCACCTGAGTTTGTCAGGATTTTAGAAGTAAATTATGAACCACCACAGGGTACAGGGATCTCAAACTGGCTGGTGTGAAAGTCATCAATTCTGTTACAGAAATGGAGTCCCAGTGCTCTAAATCACATACAAATAATTTGGGGATTTTTTTTTTTTTTAATGCAGACTCTAATTCAGTAGGTCTGGAGTGAATGCTCCAGAGATTTTGCATTTATAAAATACGTTTAGTGCAATGTTTTGATGCTTTCACTCTAAAAACCAATGATAAACATACTGAAACTGTTTATAAAAGTTCAAGGTGTATAGAAAAAAAGAGCCATGTTTGCAAAATTATTTATTTACATCTTAAGCTCATGGTAAAATCTTTATAGGATAGAATGGCTAAGATGAAATATACAAAGTCGATATAAACACATAAGCATTAATCTTTACATGAAAAGAATCTTAGTGATGGCTATCGATGAACTCGGGTTTTCCTTTATAAAACCAATGTTCCCTTCAATCATGCTGTGATAATGTCTTCCAATAAGAATAGATTTAATGTATATCATTCAAAAAAAGCTGGGAAACAAAAAGCTAACTTGGATTTATTATTAAACCACTATCCATATGTCATAAAACCAAAACTGTTTTACAGGGCTGAGATGTTTGAATAGGTCCAAACACGATATAGTGAATGAGTTTTAAATAAGGAATGCTTTGGTTATTAGGTTTTGACTTAGTTTTGGCATAACTTGTATAATTTATATCATTCTAGTGAGTCATTAGGTAATCCGTTCAAAACAAGACTTGCTTAATACTGTCACGAAGCACTTAGCCTTGCCTTGAGTGAGACTGCCTTTAAGATGCTGACAATAGCAACACATTTCTCTTTTCCTTTACTCAGAAAAAAGAAATCACAAAAATAAAAAAATCATTTTCACACGTTAAAGTCCACCATAAAGTCTTATTCATTCTTAAAAAAACAAAAGTTCCTCATCATAATACCTGCCCTGGGTATTGGTACATTATTGAAATACTAGACCTGTAAGAACTCCTCATAAACCTTGAAAGCCTATGACTGTGATCTACTTATGTTTAAGGTTAAATATATAAACAATGCATTTGAAGCTTCTGGGAAGAATTCATATTCAAAATAGTTTTTAAAAAATCTGGGTTTATTAAGTTTTAGAAAAATAAATACTGTGATTGGTTCTACCCCTCCTCTTCTACTTCTCTTCCTTCACAAATTTGAACTTAATAGCTCAGGCTTCTAAAAAGCAGAAGAAAGCAAAATAGAACAATGTAGGTTTTATTATCCACACTTTCCTTTTCCAAGGGTAACATTATCACAAAGGCAAACTTGATTTTCTTTCCTTGAAATGAAGATCCTATCTCCTAAGACTAATTTAAATAACTGTTCTTAAGAAATCAAGAGAATTTAACAACCAGTACTTTTAATAAATGAGGAGTTAAATGCCTATAAGATATATAAGGTGACTGTAAAGAGTTCTATTATAAAGTCTGAAAGCAAAATCTAAACATTTAATAGTTTACATTTAATCTCTTTAAAAGGCCTTTTAAAAGCTGTAAGCTATATTATAAATTAGCAGTTAAATTCCCACTCTAGTCTACAAAAATAATCTGCTGCACAAATATATAATTTAAGGTAACTATATTTCTTGTATTGATCTTTTTTCCAATTTTATGAGTGCAGTGAAGCAAGAAGTAAGCACCGAGGTGTTAGTTAAATTAACTTTCATTTGAGCAGCATTTTGATTTTAGATAAAGGGATTCTAAATGTAGTCTAAAATTTTCCAGAAGTCATATTTACATTCATTGTACAACACTTTATATACACATACAGATTTATAAGAAACAAATTAATCTATACTTTTCATAATGTAAAAAATAAGATAAAAAATACAACATGTGTGATCATATGGTAAGCCATCTATTTGAGAAATATGCTTGGTGTTCAGTTTTGATGGCAAAAACCTTGAATAACTTAAAGCATATCACATAAATATACCACAGGTGCTTAGTTTATTTATGACCTTAACCTAGGCCTATCCACAGTTTTAAGTGTTAAAGTCAATGCCATACAAGTAGTTGAGTTTACTAGTAATGTTTGCACTGGAGAAAAATGATTAGGGGAGGCATGACAGCAGATATCAAATGTTTTGAAGTATAATTGTAGGGAGGGATTAAAATTAATTCTTTTCCAGGGGAAAATCAGGAATTTCTGATAATAGAGCTGTTCAAAAGTGAAAAAGTCTGCTTCTGAAGCGTGAACTCCCAGTCCCACAAATGACCTTGCCTTGTCAGGGCTCTTGTAGCAAGGACTCCTGTGTTGGCAGGTAGGACTAATAGTATATGGTTAGGCCCAAGGAACTCTAAAGTTCCTCAATGCAAATTATTTTGTTGATATTGAGTTTCTGACGTGGCTTCTTAAGCAGTTTGCTTCATCTTTTTTTCCTGCCCATAAGGCAGTGTTTGATTTTCCTGTGATACCTCTTATAAATTGATGGGCTTGGCTTTCCTGGAATATATCAAAGTGAATTTTTCTGATCTAATTACTCTTCCACAAAAACAAATAGGTGGCTGTGATGAGCTCTGTTTGTGTCCCACAGAGTAAGTTCTTTACCAACCAACTCCTGGCTGAAGTAGGCTAGAAGCAGAGATTTTACCTGGGGAAAAAAGTTATTCAAAAATGTTTACTGTTCTATAATGTTCTAGTCTTGAGACTGAATGGAAAAATCCTATTTGGCACTCCTTTACCTCAGATGGCATGTGAATGCTTATCACAGTAAGAAATTCTTATGATCAGATTTGAGGTGCAGAGGAATAGGAAGCATGGAAATTTTGACCTATATTAAACAAACAAGCAAACAATAACTCTTCCATATGTTAGAAGAGGTTTTTAACTCTAAAATCAAGGCCTTTTTCCAGAAAATTAAATTCACTAAAAATGTAGAAATAAAAATCCCACTATGGCTCTAAATATATGACAAATAAATAAGGTCACATGGTTTATACATTTCCAATTCTTAACGAGGCCCTACAGTATTTCAGGAAGACGTCTTAAAGTATTGTTCCCTGAGTTCTTGAGGCAACCCCAAATATAAGTTCATGAAATCCAAGACTTTAGAGAGAGAAAAACCCACATGGTTTACTTCTCTCTCTTCTAGGAGTAGCTGTTTACTCCAAAGCAGTTTGTTCAGTGCTTACCCTATAGTTCAAATGCTTTAAGAATGTGGCTTTATCCATTTCTTAGAAGACAAGCTCCCAAATGAAACTTCTAAGAAGGAAAAAAAAAAGAAAAAGACTGTTTAAAGAAGGTAAAGTTTTAACATTAGTTAACAGTGCAGTTGAGTAAATGAGTTTTAGATCTGTAATACATAAAGAGTGGTAATACTGTCATAGGTGTTAGAAGGTAGAGTTCTATGGACTCTGGCATTTCTGACCTCAGTGGTTATTAATACCAGCTTCTCTTACCAAACAAAGTCTAACAATTCAAAAAACCAGAACTATTAGAAACGGAATGACTTTTTCATATGTAAATGTATGAGAAGATGTACATTTGGTTATAAAATGAAGATCAAAACAGCCAGCTAATAATTTCTCAACTTTTAAATATCTGCAATTTACATATAAACTTATACATAATAGTAGTTTTTAAAAATTCATTCAAAACTGGGGTTTTAAGATTCTTGAGTTGTTTTTGTATCACCTTCTTGGTGGCTATTAGAATATTTTTAAAAATTCAAAGCTTGGGAATAATTCAAACAGTGAAATATGTATTTGTTTGCAACTTCCATTATAGTCTATTTAGAAAAACTAATTACAATGAATGGAGATTTAAATTCTGTTGCTGGAAGTTTTACGTTAGGCTTAACTTTAAGCCATTAAAGTTTAAAAAAAAAAAAACCAAAAAAACCCCACAAAAAACAACGGTTGAGAGAACATACTGAAATGCTCCATCCATTTCAGTAAAGTGCACAACTATGAGTGTTTATCCTTTGGCTTGGCTATGACCTTAAGGGAGGTGTAGAAGTCAATGGTGCTGGTGTCAGATTCCTGACTATATTACTGAGGCTGGCAATCTTCTCCTCTAGGAGGTAATTTTTCTTCTCTGCTGTTTTTTGTCGCTGTTCAGTTATTTCCAGAGCTTTCAACAATTGGGCATTTTCCACATACAAATCCTTCACCATCTCATCTGCTTTAGTATTCTTGCAGAGCTAGAAACAGAACCAGAAACATCTTGACTCCATTTCTGTAATTCTCTTAAATTTAAGGTCTGACATAGGACAGTTGTTTATAAAGGCAAATGGCTTCTATCAATTATATTCTTTCATTTTACAATACAGCTTTAACATCAGACCTGGCACCAGGGATACAAGTAGAGCAAATCCACTTATTCCAAGCTGTTTCTCTGCATAATATGTTTGTAGAAGTCACTAACAAAAAGAACAAATTGATATTTGAGGGCTCGAAAATGAAGGTATTTTTCAACCTAATAAATTAGGTATTATTTCTTTATTCATTCTCTAAAAATACCAAAATACTTTTATAACTTAAATTTCTGAGGGTGTGAACTGTGTTTAACTGTTATTAACAATAGGTGCTTGAGTTTCCCATTCATAACCACATACAACCTACTGATGGTTATAATACATGAGCCAAATTTTAAAATAAAGAGAGAAGATTTGGCAGTTACTTTTCCTTAACTCTCCCTCTTTGTATAAAACCTTGTCTAGAAGAGATATTCTAATCTTTATAGTTAGAATATACAGTCTTGGTTAGGGCAGTAAAACTTGTCAGCAGCATTAGGATAATTTTATTATTGCTCCTGTTAGTTAATATCTTATAATCTCCTTTCCCTCATTATACCTTTAACTCCTCATTTTACACCCAGTTTCAGGCAGGTCATCTACAAGTATAGAGGTTTAAGGGAATAAAGAAAACTAAGGAGTGGCTAATTAATTTACATAATAGCATTTCAAAGGGCAATGATAAAGACTATCACACTGAAGCCCAGAACCTAAGTGACTGGCAAGTTTAACATAATACTAACATACTTTCTATCGAGCTGTTTTTATACAAACTTTCCTCCTTTCCTGCCATTAAAAAACACTTTGATGACTCTTATCTACTACAGAATGAAATTCAAACTCTGTGGCTTAGCACTAAGACCCTCTACTGTCTGCTCTTCCCTATCTCTCATTTCTTTTTCTTCTCCCAGGACAGGATGAACAGTTAATGCCAGTGTTTGTAGATGACCACACCCCATGTTACCCATTTTCTTTATTTTTGAAACTGCTATCTGGCCAAATGCTCGGTACTGTGAACTACACTAGTAGCTGTAGTAAGTGAACTACACTCCATATAGGCAGGATTCTGTTTTGTTCATTGCTGTATTTCTAGTGCTTAGAACAGAACCTGGCATGTAGTAACTATGTGTTGAATAAAGGATTAAAGGATTGAATCAATAAATGTAAATACAGGACTTTCTCTTTCTCTCCATTCTGTGTATTAAGATATAGGGCTGAGCAAAGTTCCTGTCTACCTCTGCATTTAGACTTTCCCTTGGAATTATTCTTCTTGGATTTTATATATCTGAAAAACCAGGTTGGGCAATTTCCACCTTCCCACTCCCGCCACAGTTTGTCTCAATCTCAGATTCCAGAGAAGTTATAAAACTTTCCTAGAAAGTAGTCCTTCTTGTATGTCTCTTCAGTGGATGCACAAATAATTTCTAAGCACTGAGGCCACACCTGCCACCAGCAGGAAAAAAGGATCAGGCTAACTAGTGGTCCTGAATTCAAGAGTCCAGATTCTAATTCAAAACACAACCTTTTGGGGTCTGGCTATAGCCGTAAGGTTGTTTTTGAGGCTGTCATAGCTGTTGCAAACAGGAAAACTAAAGTTACACTTATTATCCCCCAATTTTTTACCAATATAAAATTTCTTTTTATTTAAATAGGAATATTTCCTCTCTGGGGAAAAAAAATCTATAAAAATTCAATTTAAATTGAACCTCATTAGAAATGCTTTAGGTCCATGAGAGTCACTGCTAGCAAATATACATTTTTTAAATTGTAGACAAACATATGACTCAAAAGAACTCTGGAAAAAAACAATGTAGAATACAGAATTCATATTTTTGAAGTGGTATGGGAAAGAGTGACTCCTAAATTCTTCTAAACATTTATAATAGAATTTGCTTTTATTAGACAACAAAAGTTAACAAGTTAATAGCAATAGAGGAATGTAAAACTGGAGTTAAAGTTGAATATGAGGTGGGTGGGTAGAGATGACCTGGGAGGCTCACTTGTTCTTTGAGCTGATTCACTTTCTCCTGAAGAAGCCTTTTCACCAGTTTCAATTTTTGTTCAACTTCCATCATTCGTTCCTCCATGACAGTTACCAGGTGTTCCTGGTTTCCCTGAAGGAAAGAAAAAAATTTGTATTATCATTTGAAAATCATGCCACACAAAAGCACTAATAGTTAATTTTCCCCATAAAATGCCTACAGAAAGGACAGCAAATGTTTGCCTTTGAACAGGAAGGGTGGATTTCTGATGAAATGGGAGCTCTGAACACTGCATGGGTTGCACATGTTAGAAAAGTAACCCTATTAGAGAAAGAATCAAAGACAAAAGAAGAATCTTACCTGTGTTACCATCTTCCCCTGAGATAAAGCAAAATTCTTAAAACCCATAATTTAAGATCTGTGTGTACTTATTATAGTAAAATAGGTATCCAAAGTAAATTAAAAGATGGTTCTTAACCTTTCATCTGTGATTTGGGTCTTTGCAATACTGTGGGCATCTCAACAACAAAATAATCAAAAACTGAGTTTATTTAGGATCACCTAACATTTCCAATTAGCTTGCAATATGTGTCTGTTTTTCCTTTGAAATGGCTGATTACTGTGAGGGTGTTAGTGTTTCTAATAGCCTCTTCCTGCTAGTTATTCTGGTTATTGGTTTCCTAATTTGACCTGTCAATGTGACGCACATATCTGAATTGGAGGATGGGTTTATCATTAGAACAGATTTAAAACTGAAAATCTCCCCATAAAAAAACTCCTAGACAAAACAATAGGGCAGAAAAAGGACCCTGGCTTCTCCTTCTCTCCTCATACAACAGTGATGGATTAAGGAGTGTGTGGGTTTTGGAGCACAGAGTGACCTGCAACAAGATTTAGAGGGCAACTGACGGCCCTTTCTCCCAGTCCACCAAAATGTTCACGTAAAGAATTTCAGGGCTTCCCCGGTAGCGCACTGGTTGAGAGTCCGCCTGCTGATGTAGGGGACACGGGTTCGTGCCCCAGTCCGGGAAGATCCCACATGCCGCAGAGCGGCTGGGCCCGTGAGCCATGGCCGCTGAGCCTGCGCGTCCGGAGCCTGTGCTCCGCAACGGGAGAGGCCGCAGCAGTGAGAGGCCCGCGTACCAAAAAAAAAAAAAGAATTTCAGATTTTAAAAGGTTCTTCAAATGTTTAAAAAGGTTCTTCAAATGTTTAAAAAGGTTCTTCAAATGTTTAAGCAAGACTCAGGTATTAGTGGCTGATGGCATAACCTGTCCTTAAAAATATTCCCCAAAAGGTGTCTTTTAAAAAGCACAAAAAGAATGACCAAATGTGGGTGGAAAGCCAACATGTGTTTGGATATTAAATAATAACATTTATTCAAGCATAAAAGAAACAACTAAGCCATGAGACTAATTTGAAGAGAAAAATTGTAGTAGGCAAAAGACTAATGCAAAATTTCAAGAAACCAGGTCTTAAGAACATCTAAAATCCTATATTTTAAAAGTTATAATTGCTTTTTAAAGTTCAAACATAAATGGAAAATGCCAGATTTCCACTTGCCTTAAAAGAAAGAAAAAAAAAAGCTAAACAAACCAAAAAAAACACCCCAGATAATTAATTCAAAGAACACGGGGCATAGCAAAAGAGTGGGGAAAGAGGAAAAACAAAAGCAGTCATATATTTAAAATTTATTTTATTTCATCAAAAATTTCCTTTTTCCTGTCAAAAAAGTATTATACATCTTATATAAAACAGTATAAATAACCCTGATTTTCTTCAAATTTCACATATAAAAGTAGTACCTTTTGTTAAAAATAGTTACAACATATGGAATGAGAAAATATATAGAATACATCCTTTCAAGTATCTCAAGTCCACACTCTTTAAATCGTATAAATAATTACGTGTAACAAGCTGAAATTTGTGAATTTGATTCACAAAATCTGTCATTTCTACATAAATAGGAAACATAATACTGCAAAGGCTTAACAACAACAATAATAATAATAAACTTAAAAGAGCACTTGATTCCAAAACATTTCTCAGCTTATGTCTCTGTTTGTGTGGTGTGTGTGGGTGTGTGCATTTGAGTATCTGCCATGGTAAGAAATGCCAGCAATAACAGCCCAGTGTTCACAGGTGCCCAATCCTTCTGTAGGAATCTGCATGCACTGCTCGCTGCTCCGGTAGCAAGGCCTAGAGAAAGAAGGCAAGTGGTACACTTCACCCTGATGTCAAGATTATGTTTTTTGGGGGGAGTCTAAATTCACACATTTATAATGCAAACAATTTTTAAAAGCAAACATCAATACCACATATGCAAGCGAAGCAACACAAGGCAGAAGAAATCACATCACTCCACACACACAGACAACGTGCAGATTCTAATAGCTTTCTATATTCTTAAAATTAGTGTCAGCTTAGTTACCAGAAACAGGAGAGCCTGCCATGGCATTCTAGTGAGAGCAATAAGCAGTCCACCCTGCCATCTGGAGAAATTCTTTTTTTTTTTTTTAAGTACAAAAGTCTTAACAAATTTTGTCTATCTAATCCTCAAATAATTGAAGTAAAAGGATTAAACACTGGTGGGTGGGTTGGGAAGAGCATGTTTTGAAAATAGTGTATATGAAAGAGCAATGAGTAGGATCTTAGTCTAATCATTTGGTTTAAAATGTCCATTAAAAACTGAGGTCACTCAGTTTTTAATGAAGAGTTGAAGCAACTGTCCAACACCCACCATCACAATTTTAATTCTGGAACTAAATTTTAGTATTTGGAAATTGAGTGTAGGAAGCTTCCAAAAACATGGATTTTAAGCCTTTGTTAGAAAGAATAGATGACAGAAGTACATCATGCAAAAGCACAGATATATACTAGTAGGAGAAGAAAACCAAGTTGTTACAATGTATAATTATGGTGCTAATGTGACTTTGCAAAGCCACGGTGAGGGGATTACAGAAAGAGAGGTGGGAAATTCCTTGTCAAACGTCAACTGAAAAGCAAGGTATTTGAAAACAGAAGAAGAGCATCCAACCTAGAACAAACTAATTTAGAATTGTACAAACTAAGGAGTAGTTTTAATTTTATTCCTAATTCTGAATAAATGGGCAAGACCAAAGAGTCAAGAGACTTCTGAAAGAGGAGAATCATGAGTGAAGCACTAAAGAGAAATAACTATTTGAAAACCTAGGTAATATAAGATTGTGTCTGGTAGTGAGCTGGGATAATGCTAATTCAAAGGGAAGGGGAAGAAGATCTTTATTTTCTTAAAAATAGAGTTTTTCAAACTAGATCATTAAAAAAATAAGTTAAATGAACTATGTCAACTAAAAAAGTCACTGATGACACATTTTACTTTATTAGTTGAGAAAAGTCCCCATTTGTGAATTCCATGGAACTCAGCAGGCTATACTCCTCTGGTACAAGAAAACCCAGGATGCTTTGTTTGTTAGTAATACATATCCTAGAGTTGCACTTGAATTCTGTAATATCTTTGGCATTAGACAAGAATGTTAGGTCAATTGTGCAATATGCTCAAGTGATCCTGAGACTTCATCATCGATTACAAATGTGCAAAGGAGACCCAGAACACTTAATTACCTAGCTTAGAAGCTGAGAGCTCAAAAGCAGCACTGCAAAAAACCAAAACCAAAACAGCACTGCAGTTCTGTGGATTTGTAATTCAGGTAAGGTGTAACTGTCTGACAGAAGATTTAGGTTCTTCATCCCCACATGTGAACTGGTATAACTTTCAAATAAGCAGGTAAAATTAAATTAGGTGATCTGAGTTTACTATTAGAAAACGATCCTCATACCTGTGGTGTGTTGATTTCAGAAGTCCTGTTTTCAAGTTCCTCCTGCAGGCACTGGTTTATCCTTTCTGGCTGTAGCAGCTGATATTGAAGCTGCAGAAATTGCTCCCTGGGAACCATCGGACAGGCTTGCTGCTGGAGCAGCTGCAGATCCCAAGCATGAGGGGATGGGCTAAGCATCACAGTGGACCTCAGGTGCTGCATCTAGAGGATAAGGGCAAAGCCCTGGTCAGCTGCAGTGCCTTCAATCAGAGAGCTGCCCTTGAAAGTGGCAAGCAGAGAGTAATGAAGTCTATGAATTCATTAACGGCCTCTCAGGCTCACTGGTAACTTGAAAACAGGCAGCACATGATCCTGAGTAAGAATAAAGAATCATTTTGCTTAGGAGATAATACATTTAATGCATAAGCAGGCCTTAAAAGTTTTAGACTTAAACTGTACTTCCTCATTCTTAAGTGACTGTAAGACATGAGGTACATGACGTACATATGTCTGAATTCTCCTTTTTTCTTCTTACACTAGAACATTTAATTATCCCTCTTTTTTAAAAAAAAAAAAACGGTTGGAATAGGCAAAGGGGAGAATGAGGTTATGCTTTAGAGTTTTGCCACTTACCACTCATAAAGATTCTTAAGAGTGAATGTTCAATGACTACATTTTTTCCAAGTTAGCAATTTGTTTTCAAGATTCTCATCTTGCATCTCAAATTATTTTAACCTAGCTTAGTTTATCAGACAGGCAATTCCAGGGCATAAGGTGATACCCCAGAACATCTGGGAATTGAAGTACATGGAATGAAAGTATTTATTCAAGACAATGAGGAAATGGTATGTGTATCGCAAGCCAATCAAAGTTGGGGCGAGGGAAAGGAGAAGGCACTGCATTTGGCTAGTGAAGCATGCCACTTCACATCTGTCAACACATTCAGCAGACACAGAGCTCAATGGAAGACATGCAACAAATATGACCAAGTACTAAACTCAAGAAGAAGCACCCCCAGGCATGTGAGAAGGGAAAAAGGCCCTCTAAGACACATCTATAATTAAATGTTATCATGAAACTCCAGAGCCACTATCCATTTCCTTAAATCTAAATTTCTGAGGTGGGGTGTTACCCATTTTGAAATATTTCTAGTTATAGATTTAGAAAACCCACCACTTTATTTTTAAGAATAAAGAATATGGAGAATTATGATCCCCTGATTTTATATCAGTGGGATGATTTTCTTCACACACATCTTCAAATACTAAGGAAAATCCTGATGTAAATGTAAACAGATATATTCCAAAATTAAAGCAAAATGAAAATGAATATTGGCTCTTACCTTAAGTATTTATTAACTGTCATAGTGGTAGAAATGATTACATGAACAAGGAGTTTAATGAGATGTCTCCATGCCATGAAATTCATTGAAAGAATGTTCTACCTTCACACACTATCTCAGGCAGAGAACTGCACCCTTCTCTGCTAGTTCCAACCACAGAGTTCTAGGTACAGGTTAGCCACAGATAAAACAAAAACAAAAGAGAATTAAGGAGTTATACAAAGAGGAAGAAAATATGAGTTATAAAGAGAAAGAACAGTACAAATTGGGTATATTATATACCTGACCACATGTGCTCTAGTCAGTAGGAACTTAGAAAGAACCAACATTTACATTTCTCTGTATATAAATTTTACAGATATTAAAATGTCTCACAGCTCTAATTCTGCAGCCACTTCCTCATCTATTGCAATTTGGTTGGTTTATGAGCTTGCTACCTTTACCTCCACACATCCCAATATAATAATTCAGAAGATTTCAAGTCCACTATGGAATGGACCTGATGTTAAACACCTTGCCATGTGGAGATGCAGAATATAAACTATAAAACATTTCTGTTGTTCACGTGTCTGAACTGTTGGCTAAGAGGTACACAACAGACTTTAAAAATTGCTAATAGTCTATAACCCTGTTTTTGAGTGATCAAAATGAATTGCTTATAGAACCCTGCCTCATACAGTTGGAAAAAACCCTGGAGTGGGAGGCAGATTCTTCCATATTCTTGTCTAGTGATTTGGGATCTTTAATTACCCTGGGGTAGGGCTATGTATTATGTTACATCAGTAACTTTCAAACTGGCATATAGGGATGAGGAGAAACCCCTTTCCCCAAGGGGGTGCATACATCAGATTGAATCACCTAGAAAGCTTTTCCTAACTTTCTTGATCCCAAAGATTCTGATGTAGGAACATCTCCCTGCCTACTTACTGCCTCTCCCCCAAACCCGATGAGAATCAATGCCAGAGTGAGAGGCATGTACCTATCCCTCAGGTCAGGTGGGCACAAAAAATGGTGTGAAAACCACTGTTCATCCTCAAATTTGGCCTAATCTATAGATATCGTAACATAAATAAAAATCCAATTTACAGGTCTGGTGGGAAGGTGGAATGGAGTGTTACTGGTGAATGGTTAGTGTTCCTGTTTGGGGTGATGAAGAAGTTTTGGAAGTAGTGGTGATGGTTGTAGAACATTGTGAAAGTAATTAATGCCACCGAATGCCACTTAACAAAATTTGTCATTTTAACCATTTATATCTATCTATATACTTAGCACAAATTTTAAAATAATGTAATATACCGAAACCACTGAATTAGACACTTTAAATGGATGAATTGTGTAGTGTGTGAATTACATTTAATAAAGCTGCTGAAGACTCGAATTTATATGTCTGTACAGAATTCATGCTTTTTCTTTTTCCAGCTCCAGTGCCAAGAACACTCAATTTCCCTCATCCATTAGCAAATATTTACCACTAGATCAGGGAGAAGAGTAATGAGGGGAAATTGCTTGTGATGATTAATCATGTAAAGTAGGATTGGGAGAGAAGGGGGCTTCTGAGGCCGGAGAGAACGGTGGGGGAAGAACTGGCCTGTTGGCAGAGCATTTGCAGAGAATCTGACAGTGATTAAGTATACCCTGTTACTTTTCAATCAGGTACCAGACATGTCACGCTTAGCTTCAGATATCTTCTTCATTAGAGTATATAATTATTTCATCAGAAAAGCATATCTACATCTAAACACAGCCTGCAGCCCAAGGTTTTAAACACATTTATTTTACGCTGTCAGAGAAATAAAAAATGGTTTGGATTTCACTCTTTATAGTTTCACTAATCTCCCTATTAGTGGATAAATCAGAGAACATAAAATTGACAGAAACCTCAGCGGTCATTTAAATGTCAATGTGATATGTTTGCCCATATTTCATATATAAAAACCGAGCATCTACTGAAACTTACCTTTGCATGTATCCAGCTTCATGAAAGAAAATATTTACATATCTCTCTTCCTTCCTATAATTCTGGCTTAAAAATATTTGTATACACAGTACTTTTTAAGAGTACAGAAAGACATTTTCTACCCAGGCCTCTATACCTTATATAAATTTTACAGGTCATTAAATGTTGGATTAATTAATATTTTCATTACCCAAAGCAAAGTATCTCAATGAAATTTTTACTTATTAAGGAGGATTTTACATAAGTTGTTTTACATCCTATAATTGTGCTTGGTATTCAGAAAGCAATCTATTAGACTGGAAACTCAATGTCCAAGCTGACAGGCTTTACAAATCCACTTTTATATTTATCAGATGTACCTCTCCCAAGGCAGTGCTGAGTTACAAATATAGTAATGAACAACAGCAGCCCTTGAAAATTAAACCTCTAAATGCTAATGCTCTTAAATTCCCTGCATGCATTTCCCAACTGAACAGGTTGTTACAGAGCAATCACATCTATAAAACACTACACTGTGGGAGGTATCAGGAAACTGTTAAAACCACAGCAATGGCAAGAGAGCTCTGAGCCTCTTGGTCAGTACTGAACAGAGTCCCTGCCACTTGAATTTGTTGAGGTACAGGTCCTTGCATTTTAGGATAGTCAACATTATTCCTTCCTCTGTGAAGCAGTATATATTCCTATGGCTGTATAATTAGCAAAAATATCTATCAAACTCGGTAAGACAGACCAAAGAATCCAGCTTGGCAATGTACTTAGATTTGCACTGTTTTCATAATAGGAATTTAATGCTATGCTAGTCTCTCTCAACAAATGGCTCATTCATGGATTAAAATATTCTTCATAGCTAAGGCCATTTGCTTAAAAACTTACCTCCATTAGCTGCTCATCCAGTTTTACTTGTTTCTTTTTCAGGCCTTCATTTTCCAAATGAATTGTTTCTAATTCTCGTTCAAGGGAATTCATCTGACTAACCTGTTAAAAAACAAAAAACTCCCTTAAAACCAAAAACAAAACACTTGAGTTGCTCTACTTTATTCTGACGAATTTACGCTAGTCACAAATCTCAACTCTTGGAAGAAAACTGAGTTCATTCATCAAGGGAAAACAACAAACAATCTAATTCAGTGTACTGATTATATTTAGGTAGTCTGGTTTTAATCACCACTCCTCACATAGAACAGATTCCAAAAGCAGGTAGCTTTCAAACTTCAATGCCACACCCACGTGTGTGTGTGTGTGTGTGTGTATGAATATATATACGTAATCAGTTATAAGTATATATCACTAAGAAAACTTGCATGAAATTATCCTTACCATGAGCCATGCACTCTGATATTTTCTAGTATAGTTTAATAATTTAAAATGCTGCTATTTAACTAGATTGATTTCATGATCCTCTACTATGGATCTGCAGTAGGGAAAAACATGTCTTAAGGCAAAGTTTAAAGGTTTAGAACTGAGAATACATAAAACCTAATTTAACTCCTTTCTCAATTTTAAAGAAGAAATTTGAAGATTTTATGAGTATCCTTTTTTGGAATTCTCTTTATTACAGAATCTTATGAGAATTTAATGAGCTAGAGGACACTGGGACTCAGAATATTGCTAAGTAGAAAACATATGACACTAGAGTGCTGATTTTTGTTTCTATCAAAAAGAACTGAGGAGGGGGCTTCCCTGGTGGCGTAGTGGTTGAGAGTCCGCCTGCCGATGCAGGGGACACAGGTTCGTGCCCCGGTCCGGGAAGATCCCACATGCCGCGGAGGGGCTGGGCCCGTGAGCCATGGCCGCTGAGCCTGCGCATCCGGAGCCTGTGCTCCGCAACGGGAGAGGCCACAACAGTGAAAGGCCCTCGTACCGCAAAAAAAAAACAAAAAACTGAGGAGGGTAGCAAGAATTGTTAAATGGAATTAAGTGTAATCTTTCTAAGTACATTTAAATTCACCGTTATTTTAAAACCTATCATTAGACTTTTCCTTTGGTAAGCAGCTAGATGAAACCCAGTGTCTTTCTGAAAAGTTTACCTGAATGTACCTAAACTTAAATGACATTTCAGCTTTAGAGCACAACCAGTCTCTTTACTGCCAATGGTCGTAACTTTCACAAACTTAAAAAAATTTTTTTTGAAATATTTATAACAAAAGGAAATGACTGTTCATCATTCTTTCCAGATTTTTAAACAAACCATAATTTTCAGAAGAGGAAGGTAATACAGGCATACCTTGTTTTATTGCACTTCGCTTTTATTGTGCTTCACAGATACGGAGTTTTTTACAAATTGAAGGTCTGTGGTAACCCTGTGTGGAGCAAGTCTATGGGTGCCATCTCTCCAATAGCATTTGCTCACTTTGTGTCTCTGTGTCACATTTGCATAATTCTCACAATATTTCAAACTTTTTTGTTATTATATTTGTTATGGTCATCTGTGATTAGTGATCTTCAATGTTCCTACTACAACTTGCTGAAGATGATGGTTATTAGCATTTTTAGCAATAAATATTTTTAAATTAAAATATGTACATTGTTTTTTTAGACATAATGCTATTGCACACTTAACAGACTACAGTATAGTGGATACAATTTTATAGGCACTGGGAAACCAAAAAATTTGTGTGACTCACTTTATTGTGGTGGTCTGGAACTGAACCCAGAATATCTCCAAGGTGTGCCTGTAGTGAAAACTCTGAGTTTAGTTTAGAAAAAGAAAGGAAAACAAGTAACAACAAGAACTCCCATGGTAACACTGGCCTAGAACTCTAACTTCATGGAACCAAGAATAGAAAACAAACTGAGTCATGCTACAGAGGTTTAACCACGTAGTAGCCAGCCTCCAAGAGGGTGCCCAGTGATCCCTGTCTTCTGGTATTCAAACCCTTGCCTTGTCCCCTCCCCACTACACCAGGATTAGTCTGTGTGACCAATAGAATACAGCAGAAATGATTGTGTGTGACTTCTGGGATTAGCAAATAAAACATACTACAGCTTCCATCTTGGTCTTTTGGGGCCTCTCTCTCTTGGATCATTCATTGCCACATCCTGAGAAAAGGCCCAGGTGGTGAGGAGCCGAGCCTCTGGCAATCAGCTAGCAAAGAACAGAAGCCTCCTCCTAACAGTTATATGAATACATTTGGAACGGATTCTCTAGTACCAGTGAAGCCTTCAGATAAATGCAGTCTCAGCTGTTATCTGGACTGCAGTCTCAGGAAAGACCCTAAGCCAAAACCACTCAGTTAAGTTGCTTCCAAATCCCTGACCCACAGAAACTGAGACAATAAATGTTTGTTGTTTTAATTTATTACACAGCAATAGTTAACTAATACAGACCATATTAAGATGTTCCTAATATTCAGGCTATATATGTTTTACTAACTTAGAGGAGCTTATGATACTAATGAAGATAATTAACCATCTTCTTTATAAAAACTTAAATTGCTCCTTTCTAGCGGTCACTCAATCAAAAAGAACTATGATACTGTTTTGACAAGATTACAAAAGCATAGATATAAGGAAGAACCAAAATATGCCATTGTAATCATTTCCTGGAAGCATGCAGGGGAAGAAACATACACTTAGGGATGCTTCATAGTCAGAACACAGCCACTTGGTATTAACTCTCAAAAACTCACCTTCCTATTAGTAGGAGATCGTTCCTTTTGAAACTGTTCGCACTCTCTCTTTAAGCTCAACTTTTCCTGCTCTGTGGGCTTCACAGTACCTGATGAGTTTAGATGTTTTTGGAGCTTAGGAGGAAGAAGGTTGGATTCCAGTTGACGGACCTAACAAGAACCAGTATAAGAGGAAGAAATGCTAATATAACCACCCAGCCAGGAAAAACAAAAAGCGAACATAAGGAAAGTTTGTATTCAGTGCTTGGGTTTTGTTGTATTAAGAAAACTTTTTCCAGTCAAGTCTGCCAATTCTTGAAGCTTATTACATTTTTGGATTTCAAAAGATCCTTTCTAGGTAAATCTATTTTTAGTCTGATGCAACACTGAGGATCAGAGAAGGACAAAGGGACTTCTGGCTCAGCCAAACAACTGGGAGTCAATAATGTGATGTGGCTGCCAAAAAAACATAGTCTGTAGGCACCTTTGCTCTGACATGAGCATAACTTTTAGGAGTGAAGGGGGTGACAGTCCCATTGACTTTGTATTGGACTGTTCACACCTGAAACAATGCATTTCCATCAACTAAGTTCCACGAGGACAGCGACCATGTTTAGTCTGTTCAACACTGCAACTTCAGTGATAGCAGAGTTTCTGGCACATGGCAGGTGTTCTAAATGAATATCTGTGACTCCTAAGAGAGTTCCTCCTCAAAAGAGGTATTTAAGCATAGGTTAAACATAGTTGGTCAACTACTTAGCAGAGGTAAAGAATTTAAACATCAGCTTAGTGATGAAAAAGATGACCTTTAAAGACCATTCTAGCCTTGAAATGCTAAGTCTTTTAAAAGGGGCACCTTTTCTCTTACAAGAAGTTAGACCAACAAGAACTGAGTTTAGTTTTGCCATTTTTATACTACCAGTCTTGGCGGCTAGCCTATTTGAATGAGGAATATATGGTTAACATAATTTCCATTCAAAAAATCACAGATTTTAATATAGAACTGCTTATACAAGATGAAAAATATTATATAAACACAGCATAAAATTATATTGCAAGTAAATGATAAATTATACATTCTTAAAATAAGTCTGCCACACCAGAATACTCAAATCCATACCCTAGAATCACTGCAGTTGTATCAAACGTTCATTTACAAACACATGCCACCATGTACAGCTTTTCCAGTTACCTTCTCCCGGGAGTGTATGAGTTCCGCTTTGGTGTTCTGTACCACGGTTTGGAGTCTCTCATTCTCTTGCCAAAGCAGCTGTTGTTCCTCATTCATCAGGTGATCCAACTTGTCCCAGGACAGCCTTTGCTGTTGGTTATGGAATCCTGATGGATGGGTGCCTATTTCTGGGGCCCAGTTCTTAAGAGAGAATTGTAGAGTTAAGCCTTAAAAACAAGCTGATTTCTTTCCTGAGCATCTTCTAATGAGAGTGAGCACATGTATATCTAGATATAAGTAAAACAATATTCTTGAATGTTGATTTTAAAAAACAAGGTTTGGAAACTCTCTGTTTAAAATGATCTTTGGCAAAATAGTCCCGTCAAATCTAATAGCAAAGATGATTGTAGGGCAAGTCCCAGTTCCATATAGGACCCAAGCGCATAGAGATTGGGGACCTTAAAAATTACCTCATTCTTACGAAGTTATGCTTTGAACGCAAATAACTATTCTTTTGGTTAACAGAGAACACAGAGAACTCTGAAATGCACTGCTAACTTGAAAGATTCCCCTTGCTAAACTCTACTTTCATTTTCACATATGCAATCATATCCTTTTTTAGAATCCAAAGCACATATCATCCACATAATTGAGACCTGAACTCAGGAATATGCTTTAAGCTACCACGGTGATTTTTTTGGATCCTGAAAAATGCTTTAAAAAAATTTTTTTAAAGGTAAAAAAAGGGTTAGGGTTAGGGTTTTTTCTTTTTCACGTTTTGCCTTTTAAGCCAAAACATGAAAAGGAAGAAAAAAAAAAAAGGTACAATCTCATTTTGAAAAAATTTTCAGCCCAGAAGTAATTTTTTAAAAATGGAAGCAACTATTATGTTTTTTTTTAAAAAAAGACACAGTTTAAAAAAAAGTATCACCAAGAGATCAAGTAGCTGAATTTAGTGCCTACTTTTATGGTAGGACAAAGTCTTAACATCTACCCAAGACTGACATACATACATTGTTCTTAATTTATTTGCACATAGATGAAACAGCATTGTGATATATTAAAACGAGACTTACTTTCTACAACATCAAAATGTTTTTATTACTACAAAACAACTCAGCCATGGTCTTCTGACTTGCACAATTACCTTGTCACTATAGTTCCATTTATGTGAGGTTCAGAAACAAGCATCCCTAACCTATGGTGGCAGAAGGTAGCGAAGTGGTTCCCTTGGGGTTATCAACTGAAGGGGACACAAGAGAGCCTCCTGGGTGCTGGAAATGTTCTTTATTTTGAGCTAGGTGGTGGTTACACAAAGACAAACATACATATATATTTTACCTATAACTGTGTATATTTACATATACATACATATATGTGTATAAAAACAATCAAGTTATAGAGTTAAAATTTATGCACTTTACTGTGTAAAGTTAGATCTCAATAAAGAAGAAAAGAAATTACCTCGTCACCAGCATTCTGAAGTTGCTTGTGTAGAGACATCACTTCTTGTTTTAAAGCTTCCTTTTCCTGCTGAGTCACTCGTAGATCAGATTTAATTCGGGACATTTGCAGGTTTACATTCTGCAGGGTGTCTTCTAAATTCTGAACCTGCATCATGAGAACAGTCATACACTGCGACAAATCCTCATGGTCTCACCTATAGCATGTCCATGTATGAATAAGCTAAGACAAGAGAACTCCAAGGTCCCTTCTGCTTCTACTTACTATATCCAGGTCTTTTCAGTTGCTCAGTGCAAATCTAGGATATTATGTATCTTTACAGGATGTTAAGTTATATTTAGGACAATAATGAACTATGCCTAGAGCAAGGTATTGCTGGTATAGTCATCTGGTATATTACCAAGTGATATCTTACAGAACCAAGGAATACCAACAGGCATCACGACAGATGATTTTACTGAACTTTGTAGAAATTACGTTTTAGACTGTGATGTTGGTTTGTAAAGGACCTCTTAGATGAAAATAAAAACATACTTTGTAGAACCCTACTCCATGCTAACAGCTCATATATATTTCAATTTTAAAAAATTTAAATTGGTAAACAGAATGTTCATAGAGAGCTTTAACTATAATAGGGCATGAACCTGCCTTAGAAATCCTAATTCTAAATTAGAAATAAGCAGTCATTTTTACACACTATTCTCAAGCTTTCATAAATAAATAATCTCATAATAAGATAATCTTATGATTATTTCATAACAATGAACTTTGGGAGAAACACTGTTCAAATTATTTTACTATACTGTAAGGTGTCAAATATTAGTTAAATTGAATCATTCTGAGCCCTCTTAGACCACATCCACCTGGAACATTCTTTCCACTTGGAGTTCTGTTGGGAGATATAGGAAAATATTAACTGTGCAGATGAAATAAGAATTGTCCACATACCTTTTCCTGTGAAGCCACTAGCTGTGATTTTAAGCTTTCGCTCTGGTGTTCCCAAGACTTCTGTTCTTGCTTCATAGTAGCAATTCTGTGCTCTAAGAGACTTGATTTTGCCAACTGATTCAGGAAAAGAAAAGAGGTAACAGCATTTCTACAAACATGTCTAGCCTCATTTCACATGCCTTCACTTATACTGAAAAGATCAAGTACCATCTCTCTACATAGGGGATCAAGACAAGGTAAAAGAGAGACATTTCCTTGACTCCCTTTGTACCTTTAATTTTGAGGAGTCTCTTCTCTTTGGGGATTTCAATTTTTCCTTCTCATTGCCTCATGTTTTTGGGTGAGACGTGGTGGGCTGGAAGGCAATTAGAAATCCCAAGAGTGTGCCATAATAGGAAAATATGGAATGCCTATTAAGGCAGGTGGCACAAAGGCAGTGTTTTTGGATTTGCTAGGGAAAATACAGTAGAAAAAAAAAGTGTCTATGTAATGGATTTCAGATTATTAAATACATAATATTTATATTATTTATATTATATATAAGTAGAATAGTGATGTATTTAAATAATATATATTAAGTAGCATAGTTACTTATTAAAATAAGACAAACTTTATATTACCGTACTTAATATTTATTAAACAACTAATCTATACTCCCGTTAAAACCATGGCTTCAGCAATCTACAGATTTAATGTGATCCCTATCAAATGACATTTTTCACAGAACGGGAACAATTAATCCTAAAATTTATATAGAACCACAAAAGACCCAAAATTGCCAAAGCAACCTTGAGAAAAATGAACAAAGCTAGAGGCATAACCCTTCCAGACTTCAGACAATACTACAAAGCTATAGTAATGAAAACAGTATGGTAATGGCACAAAAACAGACATATGGATCAATGTAACAGAATAGAGAGTCCAGAAATAAACCCACACACCTACAGTCATTTAATCTTGGACAAAGGAGGCAAGAATATATAATGGAGAAAAAAGAGTGTTTCAATAAGCAGCACTGGGAAAGCTGGACAGCTACATGTAAAACAATGAAGTTAGAATACTCCCTCACACCATACACAAAAGTAAACTCAAAATGGCTTAAAGACGTATATACAAGACATGACACCATAAAACTCCTAGAAGAGAAAATAGGCAAAACATTCTCTGACATAAATCGTAGCAATATTTTCTTAGGTCAGTCTCCCAAGGCAAAAGAAATAAAAGCAAAAATAAACAAATGGGACCTAATTAAACTTAAAAGCTTTTGCACAGCAAGGGAAACCATCAACAAAACAAAAGGACAACCTTAAGACTGGGAGAAAACATGCAGAAACGATGTGACCAACAAGGGATTAATTTTCAAAATATACAAACAACTCATACAACTAAATATCAAAACAAAACAAAAAAACAAAAACACTAAACAACCAAATCAAAAAATGGGCAGAAAACCTCAACATACATTTCTTCAAAGAAGACATACAGATGGCCAACAGGCACATGAAAAGATGCTCAATATTGTTAATAATTAGAGAAATGCAAGTCAAAACTACAGTGAGGGATTACCTCATACCAGTCAGAATGGCCATCATCAAAAAGTCTACAAATAATAAATGCTGGAGAGGGTGTGGAGAAAAGGGAACCCTCCTTCACTGTGGTGAGAATGTAAATTGGTGCAGACACTATGGAGAACAGTATGGAGGTTCCTTAAAAAACTAAAAATAGAGTTACCATATGATCCTGCAATCCCACTTCTGGGCATATATCCAGAAAAGACAAAAACTCTAATTAAAAAAGATATATGCACCCCAATGTTAATAGCGGCACTATTTACAACAGCCAAGACATGGAAGGAACCTAAGTGTTCCTTCCTACAATGGAATATTACTCAGCCATAAAAAAGAATGAAATAATGTGGACCTAGAGGTTATCATACTAAGAGAAGTCAGTTAGACAGAGAAAGACAAATATTACATGATATCACTTATATCTGGAATGTAACAAATGGTACAAATGAAATATTTACAAAACAGAAACAGACTCACAGACATAGAAAACACACTTATGGTTACCAAAAGAGGAGGAGGAGGGAGGGATAAATTAGGAGTATGCGATTAACAGATATACACTACCATATCTAAAATAAACAAGGATTGACTGTATAGCACAGGGAATTATATTTCATATCTTGTAATAATCTATAATGGAAAAGAATGGAAAAAAAGCAGTACATACACGTATAACCGAATCACTGCTATGCACCTGAAACTAACACAATATTGTAAATCAACTATACTTCAATAAAAGAAAAAAAAATCATGGCTTCAGGAGCTCTAAGGTCACAAAATGCTGTTCTAGGAGACTTTTAGGCTAACGTGTAGCCCCCCACGTGCCACTGGCGTTAGAGAAATGCTCATTATGGTACACACTGTCCAATGATGGTAAAAAAGTCTTATTTTTACTACCTTATCAACACAGCTATTTAATTCTTCACTTAGAGCTTCCTTTTCTTTCAGCAGTTTTTCATTGTGGCTTAGAATACTAGAAATTTTTTGTTGGAAGTCAGAGAGATTGGGACATCTGTGCAGCTGTAAGAGATAAACAAGCCCACCCATCACGTCTCATGGTTGTATTTAAAAAGATGTATTTATAAACAGGACATTTTCATGGCTGCTGCTGTTTCCCTATCTGTAGATATTTCCCAGGACATATAAACTCTAGGGAACTATAATTAACTTTAACAAAATGTTCCCTGCTGGCTTCTCTCTATTCTTCAACTGACTGCCGAAATGTCTGCTTAGACAAAACCAACCAGACATTAAGTAATGGTCCTAGCTTTCTGTTTTACCTTCAGGATAAAATAAATAACATACTGCCATTCTGTCATGAATTTAACTTGCGTACATATAGCACAAAACATTTTCCCCATGTTTTTTAACTAGAAAAAAATCTTTTTCAATCAAGACTATGGAATTGGCATCAACCAAGTACAATGTATCAACCAACAAAAGGGGAAGTTTTTTTGTTTTTTTTTTAATATTTATTTATTTATTTCGGGTCTTAGCTGCGGCATGTAGGATCTAGTTCCCTGACCAGGGATCGAACCCGGGCCCCCTGCATTGGGAGCACGAAGTCTTTCATCGCTCGACCACCAGGGAAGTCCCAAGGGCAAGTTTAAAGATAAATCAAGCAGTGTTTTTCAGCACGTTCTGCATACCCTTCCCTTTGGAAGATGCCTAAATTGACTTGCTAAGAAAAAGGTTGCTGGGGGCTTCCCTGGTGGCGCAGTGGTTGAGAGTCCGCCTGCCGGTGCAGGGGACACGGGTTCGTGCCCCGGTCCGGGAGGATCCCACATGCCGCGGAGTGGCTGGGCCCGTGAGCCATGGCCGCTGGGCCTGCGCGTCTGGAGCCTGTGCGCAACGGGAGAGGCCACAACAGTGAGAGGCCCGCGTACCGCAAAAAACAAACAAACAAAAACAAAACAAAAAACAAGGTTGCTGGTATGGACACACTGGCTTCTTCCTCTGCACTTTATGGCATCAAGACAAACGGAAAACTTTTTGTTCCTTTTCATCATCAGCCTTAGCACTAGTGACATTTTGGGGCAGGTAATTCCTTGCTGTGGGAGACTGTCCTATGCACTGTAGGATGGTTAGCAGCATCTCTGGTGTTACCTATTAGATTCCAGTAGCACAGCCTGCCTCCCCATACACTGGGTGTGAAACCCCAAAATGTCCCCAGACATTGCTAAATGTCTTGGGGTGGGGGAGCAATTTCCACCTCCCCACAACCACTGCTTTAAGGAGACTGTTTCTTACACTCCTTAACCCTTCCCATAGTTCATATGTTTTCAATTTCCCTCTACTTCACTTGGCTTTCAATTTTCAATTATTTATTGTCATTATGATTTTACGGCCATCTTTCAACTTTTTACCTGAAGTTCTTTTACATTCAGCTTTAGGAATAGTATGACAAAATGGACTTTAAGGATTGAATGTTGTCTTCAACTGGCAACAAATCCAGCATAATTTACAAATCTAAACAAGTCAGAAGGGTGAAGGAAAGTGTAAAGAACCTGGGCATTGGTTAACAAAGGCCTTTTTTCCTTTGCTCACTACCCCATCCCCAGACCCTCACAAAGCCTGGTACCATTTTGGGTGTCTACAGACTGGTATGTGACCACTGCTGATGCTATTCGTGTTTCTTTTCAATGCAACAGATAATACAAAATAAAAATGTTTTGTGAACAAGAAATTATTATGTCATACAGAGCAGCACAGGCTTTCTAGGTCCAAGCTGTGTGAAAGCAAAAGTGGGCTGACACCATCTTAACCCTTGTGATCCAAGAGTCCAGATGCCTTGAACAACTGCCCACCAAAAGCAAAAGGGCTCACTGTTTTTCCATCTCACTATTTATATCAATGCTTCAAAAAATATGCAATAAAAGTGTGCCAAATGATGTCCTCATCATACTATTTTACTCCCAACTCGGCTCCTTTTCTTCTGATCCCTAGCTTGGCAAAATCACAAAGCATACATTTCCCATGCTATGGATTTGGAATCCACCATTATCATCTGAAAGGTTGAACAACAGACAGAAAATGATAAAGGAGAAAAGTATGCCCAAGTTAATTAGGATGAATTTAGTAATAACAGCTCTGGAATACTTATATACCACAGAAGAGCCTTTTAACTTCTGGAATGTTTATATGGACAGACAGCTTCTGCTATGGCAGAACAGATAAACTTTGCATAGCAGCATCTGACTTGAAAAGGTTCTTATAAAGCACCTATTGGGTACCAGTACTGTATTAGGCACTGTAAGAGATACAAATTCCCTGAGAGTCTTATAATCCTATTAGGAAATCAAGACTTACAGGTGTCAATTAGGAATCAACATGAACATAACACACTCAGTGGTACAGACTCAGCATTCAGAGGAGGACACCTTTATGCTCATAGGCTGAATAGGTATGAGAGAATTTTATAATCTAAGGATATCATAATATTAAAGTAATCCTCTGGTGAAGCAAATAAATAAAATGGAAAAACTAAATTCTCCTAATGTAAATCAGGATTGCTTAAACTGAGGGATTCCTGTGCTCATTGAAAAATTCAGAATAAAATTGGACAACGTTCAGAATATATTAAGGTGAACCCTGTTTTATACTTAAAATTAGGTCTTTGTTTGAAACTTTGAAATGTGCTTCTTAAAGCCAAATTCATAGGTGAGACTGCATCCCTGATAATGTTCTAGAATCTACTCTTCTGCCCAAGATAGATGCCTCAAACTCACTATGAGAAAAAGGGATGATGAGGGACCAGCTTCACCTGTGTCTCACAAATCTGGGTGAATAGTTATTAAAGTTATGAGTAAGAAAGTCACCATCTTTTTAGACAAATTTATATTATTTAACACCTGGCCGGGAGAAGGTAGAGCAACAAATTTCCTTTTTTTTTTTTTTCTGCTGTACGCGGGCCTCTCACTGCTGTGGCCTCTCCCGTTGCGGAGCACAGGCTCCGGACGCGCAGGCTCAGCGGCCATGGCTCACGGGCCCAGCCGCTCTGCGGCATGTGGGATCTTCCCGGACCGGGGCACGAACCCGTGTCCCCTGCATCGGCAGGCGGACTCTCAACCACTGCGCCACCAGGGAAGCCCAAATTTCTTAAACTGAAGTGGTTATGGTTCATTTATAGTAACAGAATGTCAGTCTACAACATGTAAGTTACATAACTAGAACATTTAGAGAATTAGCAATAGGAGCCCTTATAAATAGACTTGTACTGCAAGCCCTCAATTTTACTAAGTAATAAGCTAGTTAACAGGACTCAGTAAAAAGGACATTTGGTGGCTAGAAAAGTTAGACCATCAGGTGCATATTATTCTATGAGCCCCCCCATACCTCCTGTCCCCACCTAAGCAACACACGATCTTACTTGTTTCATTTTCTCCAGTTCATCTTTGAGAAGGAGGTTTTCCTGTTCCACAATATGAATTTGTAGTTTAACTTCAGAAAGTTCTGCCTCCAGAGAAGACACTAAAGTGGAAGACTAAGAAAAAATTTTAAAAGTCATATAATATACATATTCATTTAGCCTGGGGAAACTTAGTAAGTTCACAAAAGGCAGCATTAAGGAAACACTAGTACAAATTCAGTGACACACTGTTTAATATCATTTGTCCTTATACTCAATGGAACTAACCAAAACTATCTTTTAATAGACTTTCCGCTAAAATGGCATGAACATGACTTCTAAGTTCGTTTTTGAAGATGTCTTCACTGTAAAGTTACTATCTTTCTCTGGGGGGAGATGCTTTGAGACCATGCAAATAGTGTTTTTCCTTAAGCTTTTGCTTATTGATTTTAGTGTCTATCAGTGGATTTTATCTACAACAATTACTACTCTGGTGTTTGCCTAATGAAGACTTTTTCCTTCTTCATACATTTATTAATTGGAATTCTCTTGTAAGGAAGAGCTGTTATTTTCCCCCCGTTATTTATGTATTCAATTTTTTTTATAACAGTATGGACCTATAGATATTTATTTTATTTTGCATTTTATAATTATTTTGTGCTCTGCTTTATTTTGTTGATCAAATTATTCCAGCTTTGGCCATTAGGAGCTCCCTCAGGTTGTGCCCTGTCCTTTTGACATGCCCCATCTTTTGGGGGGCACCTTTTTCTTTCTGACACCATGAGATGTTCCAGGCTCATCTTGAATTGACCCTGCCCCAGCCTTGGAAGCAATCATTTTTCCAAGTAGCCCGGGCTCCTCTTATACGAGAATAGTGTTTAGAAACCAAGATCTGGGTACTCGATCCATATACACACATCTACATCTCTGTATCTATCTATCTGTCTATATATTAAGAAATACGAGTTTATACTAATACCTCAAATTCCAATCCAATATCAGAGGGTTCATTTTAGCCTTCTCAGTTTCCCCACTTGCAACTTCCTTTTCCAAAAATGAGAAACGCAGTTCTTATTTTCTACGTTTACTTATCTGTTCAATTCTAGTATACACAGAGTAGTTCCAGAATTACTAACATACACCCCCATGAGAAACACATTTACTCACTAGATTATTATTGCCTTTATGTACACTTCTTTTTGTCTTAACCCTACTGTATACAGTCAAGATACTAATTTCTAAATTACTTATTTTCTTCCACACTGTAGCTATGTTATCCATTTACAATACAGTTAGGTTCATTTGTTAGTGTTTGTGTTCCATTTTGGTACCCCCCCATCTTTGTTTTCTGGATTGGTTTTAATTGTGTGTTTATTTGAGGGGGTATGCAAAGAGTATGTAAAACATTACTATAGTTCTAAGCATCAGAGCTATGTGAAAATGTTCTCAGAAGTGTCACTCCCTTCCTCATTCCTTCTATCACATTCCCATTCCTCTCTTCCATCCCTTTCCCACTCGCCCTCTATAGGTAACCATCTCTTTAGTTATCTGGTTTATCATTCCCATATTTCTTTTACATAAATTTCTGTATTTCTTTTACACAAATACATGTGTATTGCCTAATATCCCCTTCTTTCTTACATGGACGGAGACATACTATCTTAGATACTCTACTGAGCTCTTCTTTTCTCACCTAACAGTATGTCCTGGAAATCATATCACACGAAGAGATCTTTCTCATTTGTCCATTCTTTCTTTTTCTTTTTTTATAGCTGTATAATACTACTCCATGTGTGGCTATACCCATCACATTTATCCAACAACTCTCCAATGTATGGGCATCTAGGTTGTTTCCAATATTTTGCAGTTACAAACAATGCTGCAATGAATAACCAACGCTTTACGGTGAATTTTCATATTTTTAGAGGAATATCTTTAGGGTAAATTCCTAGAAGTCAGATTGCTAGGACAAAAGGTAAGTACATATGTAATTTTGTTAGATTTGCCAAATTTCCTTCCATAAATACAATATCAGTTTATATTCCACCAGCAATGTATGAAAGTGCCTGTTTTCCCAAACCCTTGACAATAGAATATGTTGTTATATTTTTAAATTGTTGCCAATCACATAGGTGAGAAATGAGATATCAGCGTTATCTGCATTTCTAATTCTGAGTAATTCTGAACATTTTTTCAAGGTTTGAGGGCCATTTTTATCTTTTTTTTGTGTGTGAAGTTTTGTTCATGCATTTTTTCCTATTTGGCTATCAGGTTTTGCTCCTAAGCCCTTTGACTTTTAAGAGTTCTTTACATAGTAGGGATATTAGCTCCACTCTTGGTGGTATATGATGCAAATATTTTCTCCCAGTTTGTGAGCTGTCATCTTTCTCCCAGTTTGTGAGCTGTCTTTTGACTTTGTTTATGGTATTTTCTTGGTCATGCAAAAAATTTTAAAAATTTAATCAGGTCATTTTTTTGCCTCTAGTTTATGAGCCATAGTTACATAGCCTTTCTCTACACCAAGCCTAAAGATGAATTTGCCCAGTTTCTACTAGTACTTGTATGTTTTACCTTTTATATTTAGACTCCTAATCCAATTGGAATTTACCCTTATGTATGGTATAAGATATGGATCTAATTTTATTTTCAGTTGTCTACCCAGTTATCTAGGCACCACTTACTAAAAACTCCATCTTTACCCCAGTGATTTGAGAAGCTACCTTTGTTATATACTAAGTTTCCATATGTATTTGGGTCTAATTCTAGACTTTCTCTTCCACTTATCTGTCTATTCATGTGCGAACACCACACTGTTTTAATAATTGGGACTTTATGTATAAGAAATTAAATACAAGCATTTCTTTTATTTACTGGGATTTCCTCCAGAAAGGCTGTAGAGTGGCTGTAGACCATACCTGCACTTTACAGTGTTCCAGTTCTTCTTTTAGATTAGACTTCTCTTGTTCCCATTCCTCACATGTACTGTGTCCTGGCTCTTTATCCTTCTGACTTAGCATTTCTGCCAGACGTTGATTAACTTCTTGCAGTTCTTTCTGATTTTGAGAATTCTTTTGGCTAAGCTCCATATTTTCCAAATCCAACTGTTGGTTTTTGGTTTTTAATTCTGAAATCTAATTAAAATTGAAAAAAGTCTTAAAAACTAGTTATCCTACTTCTGCTAAAAATATATTTAGAGACTAATTGTTTTACCTTCTCTATGTAAAGTTATACACACACACACACATTTAATAACAGAAAAAATACATACTCATTATTACAAAGTCAATCAGTTCAGAAGTGTATGAAGAAGTGACAGACACTCTGTCCAACCCCATTCCACAGGGGTAGCCACTGTTCACAGCTAGGTACGTATCCCTACAGATTGTTTTCTATGCATACACAGACCTATATACGTGTAGTTTTCTCCTTCTTTAGAACAAAAATTTGCATTATTTCAGATGTTCGGATAGTCTGCTTTTTCCACTTATAATATCTTACAGACTCTTATCTTTCCAAATCGGTGCATTCAGAAACCACCACATGCTATATTTTTAGTGGCTATAGGGCAGCGGTCGCCAACCTTTTTGGCACCAGGGACCAGTTTCATGGAAGACAATTTTTTCACGGACCAGGGCTGGGGAGGGGTGGGGGGTGGGTGGGGTCAGGGGAGGGGGATGGTTCAGGCGGTAACGCAAGTGATGGGGGGCGGCAGATGAAGCTTCACTCTCGACCAACCGCCGCTCACCTCCTGCTGTGCGCCCGGTTCCTAACAGGCTGAGGACCGGTAGTGGTCTACGGCCCAGGGGTTGGGGACCCCTGCTATAGGGTATTCCATGTATCAAGACATTCCATACTGTATTTATCCATTCCCACACTGATAGACATATAGGTTTATTATCATTTTTTCTTTTAATTATGAAGAAACAAAACAATCTTTTGGAAAATTCATGTACACATGGTAGCATTTTGTATTTAGGATCTTATTTTTGGAAGTAGGGCTGCTGGGTTAGAAGGTGTGCATATACATTACTGTTTTGATCGATATCCCCACAATGTCTTCCTCACAGACTACCAACTTATAGTCCTATCAACAATGTATGAATATATTTGTTTCCTCAGTCCCTTTTTAATATTAGATCAGATCAATCTTTAATTTTTGCTAATCTGACAGGTGAAAAAAAGAAACTCATTTAATTTGCCCTTCCCTAATCACTAATGAGGCTAACCATCCTTTTATATGTTCTCTTCTTTTTTTCTGACTTGACCAATCATATAAATTATTCACTTTTCTACTCCATTTTGCAATTTGTTTCTAACAGTACAGAATATATTTTGGACGTTAACACCTTGTCTATTTCAAGTGCTGAAAATAGTCTTTTCCCAGGATGTCCTTGTCTTTTGATTCTCAAATGGCTTTTCCCCACACAATTGCATATTGTTGAGATTATACAAAGTGGGCACTGAACGGCACAAGCTATCTAAATAAATCATAATTCTGTGAAAATATACACGGATTAACTAGTATTCTATATCTGTAAAATGCTGTTCTTAACTTTCTGCTTTTAATTGTGGTGGGGAAAGAGGAAGGAGCTAAAATGAATCAAAACCACATGTGGGGACCTCCCTGGTGGTCCAGCGGATAAGACTGTGCACTCCCAATGCAGGGGGCCCTGGTTCGATCCCTGGTCGGGGAACTAGATGCATGCATGCTGCAACTAAGGAGTCTGCATGCTGCAACAAAGATCCCGTGTGCTGTAACTAAGACCTGGTGCAGCCAAAATAAATAAATATTAAAAAAAAAAAAAAGCCATCTGCTACAAAGAGCACAACTGAATCTAATTAAAAACAAAACCAAACCAACATAGAGCTAGTATTTCACAGGTTCGGTTTTAGAGGTTATCACCTCCCCACTCCCACTGATTATAAAGCTAGTATTCAGCACCAGAGTCTACAAATAATATATATATTATTATATTCACAAAAAAACAGAAACCTAGTTTAGAATTAGCATGAGGTGAGTTTCCATTTTGAAACTCAGGATTTACATACAGCCTTACCATTATTAGCTACGTTTCCAGTAGCACGTGCTGTAAATTTCAAATTTAAAACAAGAAAATTTTAGAATCAGGAAACATTGGGAAATATTCTCTCCTTACCTGTTTCTTTAAATTTTCAACCATCTTCTGAACTGCAGCTTTTTCCTGCTTTACGGTTTCTATTTTTTGCCTAAAGGGACAATGAAAATATAACTTAAGAGTTAGGCTTTAACAGTTGAAGTAAAATAGCTTTAGTCCTCACAAAAATGCCTTAAGAACATTTAAATATATGTCTTACCACATTTCTTCCTGAGATCCATTTAATTTCCCTAATTTCAGGTTAGAAATGCTGTCTTCTTCATTTAAAGTAGTAATTTCATTTCTCAAAATAAAATTCTCCTCTTGAAGCTTCTCAGATTCATATCTGAAGTACAGAGATTTTTAAAAAATAGTTATAACAAGGCAGTCATCTGGCATCTTTGGAAAATACTTTATAGTAACTTCCAATTAAACACGTATTCCATGCCAGTTAAAAAGAAAAGCCTAAATTAGTAGTCTCTTGGTGCTTGGAAATCAAGCTACGACATATTGACTCATTTCTTTTGGGAAGTAAGAATTTCACTAAAAGACATTAGGGAAGTGTGACTGAAACACCTGAGCATGGAGACAGAAAGGAGACTCAATGCCCATCCTGGTTGCTGACTTTCTCAGTGGCAAGCATATGCTTTGAGCAAATTATTTATTTCAGTCTGAAGTCCTGCCTGCTCCTAAAAGACAAAAGCCATGTTACTAAGCTGTATGAGCTTCAGTTTTAAACCCCAGGGCACCTAGAGAAAGAAGATTCACTACATAAATGAAAGGGCCATGTCAAAATATGTACACTAATGTTTACTTTGTGATTTCTTTCATCTCATTATGATTTTTAGAACTAAATATGGTCGGAAGTAAAACGAGGAAAAACTACGCCGAGAATTATTTTGTTTTTTCATATCTTTAAGATATTTCAGACATGACGTAGTATTTTACAAGTTTTTTTGGAACCAAATTTGTTAGAAGGCTATTGCAATCATATTTTATAAAGTTGAGTGAGCAGTCGTTCAAATTAGTATCATATTTGTCTTTGTTCTTCAAGCACGTTTATTAGAATCTGATAGCTCCTCAAAAAATTATATGTTCTAAGATAAATTTCCAATGTTTACAGACTATCAGCCTGCACTTCAAGTGATATAAGTGAAAAACTATAAGCCATGAGACACAACACTTTTTCTATATTAGTGTAAGAAGAGACTCCTTATCTACCAAGTGAGTTAATGATACACGAAAGGCATTCATTCTCATATAACTTGTTTCATCAAAATGAAGGAAATAACCAACATTTAGCCAAAAAAACCCCACCAAAACTATCCATCCAAATGAAGTGCTACAAAAGAGTTAAAGACTTGACATACATTGATGATGCACATGGTTAAACAACTAACACTCTCCATCATGAACTTTCACACCCTAAATGAACGACATTTATTTCCTATAGAGGAAGCAGTGCCTCCTAGGCAGGGTTATTCTACTTGTTAATACGACACAGAAGCAGAAGGAAGTCTAAAGTACTGCTCTCTTCTTGAAGACTAACAGGTTAGTTTCTCTAGGCACAGCAAGCAGCCAAGTTAGATTTGGTGAGGTGCTCTGTGGGATTCCGTGAAGTGTAGAAGGTACATACATTACCTCAGAAGCTCAACTTTTTGCTGCATCTCACTGCACGTGATTTGCAAGTCATGCATCATTGCCTTCAGCTCTTCCTCCTTTTCTCCTTGAGAAGGTACATCTTTTTGCTTAACTAAAGCAGTGACTCTTTCCCTCAACTTTCTAGTCAGCTCCTGCAGCTTCTTTTTCTCCCGTTCTAACTCTGTGATTGTGGCCTGGCGCTGAAAATGTTTGTCCTGAAGGCTGAGGAGAGTGGTGTTTTCCTCCAGTATTACTTGGTTCTGTACTCCAGGCTTTTCTTGATGTGTCTGGAGTGTTCCATGTAGCCAGGCAATTTCATGTGCTTTTACTTTTTCTAAGAGCTCTGTATTCTCCTGCCCTAGGTACTGGTTTTCTTGACAATGTTCTTCTATAATATGGTGTACATTCATAATCTTTGGTACACACTCTTCCGGTGTCTGATTTAGTTCAAGGATCTTTTCATCAGGTCCGACTTCCAGGTTATCTAAATGGGCTTCCCATAAGGAGAAGCAGTCATACTGCAGCACTGCTCTTTCTTGCAGCTTCTCCATCTTGTCTTGAAGTCTCAAAACCAGAACATGCAGTTCCGCATTTTCTCTTTTGACCTCGTCATAACTCTTTTCCAGGCTAAGGAATGTTTCAGTCACTTCTTCAACTTTCTTTAGCTCATCCTGTAATCGGAACATCTCTGAAGTGAGCTCTTTGTTATTTTCTAGTGCTTCATCGTACCGCGTCTCCATCACTCTCAGCTCTTCCTGGAGACACTCATTTTCTCTCCTAGCATCTTCATATAACAATTTATACTTGGCGGAAGCCTCAGGGATTCTTTCAAGCGTCTTTAATTTCTTTTTTAGCACAGAAACATCAAAAAGTAAGTCCTGTTTCTTTTCAGAAGCTCGATCACAGTCTGCACGTAGGATCATTAGTTGTTCCTGAAGCTGGCCAATCTGATTCTTTAGGTCCCAGGTTTCAGTCCTGGTCTCCTCACTATTTTCAAGCTCAGAAAAACTCTCTATTGATGCTTCAGACTCCTCTCTTCTGACCTCCTGTCCCTGACCAGAGCTTGTCCCCGTACTTTCCAGATCCCGGACCTCATCGCCTTGCAGGTCACTTAGGACGTGCTGCATGGTTCCACCTTCTGCTTGTTTCATTCGGTTTGGCAGTAAAAATGGCTCTGTTTGTTCCATGGAATTTCCAAAAAACCCAGTAGTTGGCTCATCTAAACAAGAAGACATTACTGACTCTGGCTCTAATTTTTGCAGCCTCTGTTGCAACCTAGAAATTTCAGTTGCCATTTTCACATTTTCCTTCACTGCTCGTTCATGAGCTCTTTGCAGGCTTAAGAGGACATCTCCGTTCTCTTCCAACAGCTGCTCTCCTTGCTGGAGCAGGGACATGGCTCCACTTCCTTCTACTTCCTCCCTTCCCATTGCCTGGCAGCCATTCTGAAGCCTGGAGGGAGGAGATCCCACCTGCTCCATTTCCTTAATTTTATTCTGAAGCCTGGAGATTTCTGTGCTCATCTCAGCCCTCTCTCGATCTGCTTTCTCACAGGTCACTTTGTAGACACTCTCCATGGCCAGAAGCTTGGACATCATTTCCTGCCTCTCCTGGTCACGTTCCCTTTCGAGCCTTTCAAGCCTCTGGCTGGCCAGCTGCTCCGAGGCGCCTGCTTGGCACAGGACCTGCTCACGGTCCTTCAGTTCTCTTTCGTGACTGCTCTTCAGCTCAAGTATCTGGCTGGACAGCAGACTTTGCTGACTTTCAGACACAGTTCTTAGATCTTCCAGGTCTTTGAGTAGCTTCTGTCTCTCAACAACCATGCTATTCAAATGTTCTTCGTATGTTTTCTCCAGCATCTCTCTCTCCTGGGTCAGGACCAGAGAAGTGGCTTTCTCTCTCTGGAGAGTCTCTTTAAGCTGCTCCTGGGCTTCTGCACACTCCTGGGTGAGCTCATCTTTCTCAAACTCCCACTGGGATCTCTCCTCGCGCTGTTGTTCCAGGACTTCCTTCAGCTCTCGGCGGTAGTGCCCCTCCAGACTTCGCAGAGCATTTTCATATCTCTCAGCGACTTTCTGACAGTCAGCCTGAAACTGGGCTTCTATCTGAGAGGTTCTTCTATTACACTCAGTTTCCATTTTTTCCCTAAATGTGGTCAACATACAGCATTACTGAAACTGCCATCAACTCCGGAAGCAAACAAAAAACATTTTCCCATGCATAGAAGAAGCAGCCAAGCAAACAATTCAAATATTTTCTAAAAATGGTCTTCACTTATTCCTATGTGATTCAGTTATACTGAGAAGGGATCTCATTTCTGAGAGCCAATGCTGGCAGCCATAATTAATTTAAAAGACTTACTTACCTCTCTCTGCATTTAGAAGGAAAATTTAGAAACCCAGTTCTTTGGTATACTCCCACATGTATTTGTTTATGGATTTTTAGCCAAAAACGTAGGCTGATATTTCACATTAAATGTTCAAATGCATATTAGCCTAAACCCTAATTTGGGAAATACATAAAATTCTTCCATTTTAATTAAGTAGACATTGGTGGATAAATAGTCATATAAACCACACATATTAACAAATTCATTATGTTTTGCTTTTTATTTAATAAAGTAGCACCGGGTTAAAGTATGAAGCACTGAAGCCCTGAAAAGTACCTGAGATTTCACGTGAGGAAAGTAAGCACAAAATGGTGTTTCATAACTCTGGAAGGAAATGTAACTTTGCCCAGAATCTAGCTTATAAATGGCCTTTCTCAGAAAACAGCAAGACTGAACTAGGAAGAAATCACATTTGTGATAATCTTATCCTCATCTGTAACCTTAAAAAGTACATGCCTGATACAAAAAATACTTTTCTCTTTCTAAAAAAAAGTTTCAATACCCCAAGGTAGGCTTATATCTAAACAACGGCAAAACAATCTGAAAAACTAAAAAAGAATCTAGTCAGTCAGTGGGCTATTATGTCTTCTGATTTTTCAAAGTCTCCTTAATTGACTGGGATTTCTGGTGCCCCCAAGGAATGGTGCCCCAGGTTCCTCCATTTCCCCCATTTTCTTACCTTCCCTCATGTAGTTCCCTTTGGTGTTTTTCCAAGAGCTCTTTTTGCAATTCCTCTTTCTCAAGAGTATGCTTCTCCACCAGGCTTTTCAGCTGCTCCTGGTGAACTTGTTCTAGTTCCTGAGTCAAGCTTCTCACCTTCTCTTCTGTCCAGGCACCATTTTGAATGAGTTTTTCCCTCTCTTCATTAAAGCTTTCCTCTGCCTGCTGCAGCCTAGCCCTTAGCTCCATCTCATGCTCCAGCCTCAACTCCTCCTGCAGGTGAGCCTTTTCCTCATCCCACTTCATTTCCAGTTGTTTTTTCTCCTCCTCATGTCTGCAGATAGCCGTGTGTTGTACCTCCTTGAGTACCACTGTCTGGCCCTGAAGTTCTGCAATTTCATTTTTAAGGTCACTTATTTGTTCTTCCAAGATGTGCACTTCATTCTCATACTTTTGCTTCACATTCTCCTGCTCCTTTTTACAGGCAACCTTGGTTTCATCTAGCTGCTTTTCATAATGATGCACCTAAAGCCAGAAAGTAAAACCACCACAATGTTATTCAACTCAAGGCCATGGAAAGGTGATGGGGCAGTAATTACTTTTCTCCTACAAGACATTCCTCAGTTTTCCCATTTTTTTGTTTTAAAGTAACAATTCAAAAACACATTAAATAAGATATTTTTAAGTCAGGCATGGTTTGATTACCTTTTTAACTTGGTTGAATTTTATTAGTTTCTGAACAACTCTATTAAAACTGACTAGACCTTCACAGAGATACCATTTGTCTCCACGGGCAAACTCAGGGCCTTAACATAGTTAATTAAATTTAAGTATTTGTTTAACACCTGTCAGGTACCCTGCAGGCCTCGTGGGGACACAAAGTTGGGTAAGACATAGCCCCTGTCATTAAGGAAAAACCACTCTAGACATGCTCATGACAACTACAAAAAAGTATACTACACGTCAGAATAAAACATATAAAAGGTATAGGAAAAATAGTTACAATGTAACCTGGGATTCAAAGGAGGGAAAAATCACATTTGGTTGGGAGAATTCAGGAATGTAAGAGGTAGCATTTGATATAAACTCTCAAGGTTAAGTAGATTTTCAAGAGGTAGAAAGAAATAATAACACAGCATGTAATAGCATGAGCAAAAGAGGACAGTTTGATGAAGAACAGCAAACTACCTAGTTTGGCTGGAAGATAAGGTAACTCAGAGGAATGGTAAAAGAGAAGACTGGAAATATAACCTAAAGCAACACGGTAAAGGGTTTTGAAGGCCAATATTCACCTAATTTAGGAAGTAATGCTATATCAAAGGGCTTTTTAGTTTTATTAAGATGTCTTTCAATGAGTTGGAAATAATGTAATCGTCTGCAAGTTCCATGCTTGCTAGGACTGAAGGTACTACATTTTTAAGAAACTCTCTCCTATGAGGAAAAGGCCTCACCCTTGGCCTGTGAAACCATGCTGAGGTAGTGCGTTCCTGGTAGCCAACAGGACACAAGAGGAAATGTATAGAAAGTGCTGCTCTTTGAGAAAATAGAATTGAGAATGTCCTACATGCAAACGCTTGTCAGAGCTCAAAGAAATCAGAGAACAGGATTGATAAAAAGGTCTTACTTTATCTTCAAGCTCCAGTCTCAGGCAACACAAGTCCCTGTGATGTTGTTCTTTCATCTGTTCGATGACCAGCTCCGCCTCGATGCTCATATTCAATGGATTGCATTCTTCAGAGCCAAGCCCTGAAAACACATCGGATCTGTTGACCCTGCAGCAGGTTCTTTCAATAACACAACTGGCATCTAAGGAAGGATATCCAGTTTAATTGAGGAATAATTTTTAGCTTAAATTACTACAGATGAGATCTACTAGGAAACAACAGAAGCCAAGAGAAGTCTCTTGTTTTTAAGTATTAGGGAAAATAAGAAAAAGTGAAGGTGAACAGATTCTTTCATGTACAGGCAATGTACCAAACCTTAATAGAATCCAACAAAATAGGAGGTGGGAGTAGATGTGGAAATTGTTGCTTAAAGGTGACCTCCTCCTAATGAAAATCGTGCAGAGTGAGGTAGTTAGGTCAAACCAACCAGCCTTCTTTCCATCCAGTGAATACTGAGTGACAAATTAGCAGAGGGGCAATGTGGCAGGAGAATGAACGGCCAGCATACTTGCTATGCTTTGAGGTGTTAACTTCATGGGTCAAGATATCCAACCCACCCCTCAACATTACAAAAGATTCAGTATTGTAATATTAATTTCCTGTAGTGCAGATAGGGCCTTACCTTAAATTATCAGCTAAAACTTTTTAAAGAATAGGGCATAGGTTAGGAACCTGGATATAGGCAGATTCGATAGAAAATTCTCGACTCATTCATATGAGTTCACCTCTGCAACTGCCTATGATGATGACTGAGAAGGACACTGAAATGTGAAGCATAAGCTGAGGGCTGAGCTAGTACAAAGACAAAATGATTACATCTACTACTACGTAGAAATCTCTTAAGGCAGGGGACGCAAAAAAGCTTTTCATGTGGAGATACACAGGCAGATGCAAGAAAGAGCATAAGTCTAGCATCTGGAATTGACAGTCCTGCTTTGGGCTTTCTCTTCATCTATCATGGCACATCCCCAACTGAGAAGTGATACCTGGGGTGTAAACCACCCCAATATGACACAGCCTCAGGTACCCATGAGGAGAACTCCCAGCCCTTGGTCATCTATGGAAAAGCCCAGAAAAGCTTCTGAGATACATCATATCAGTTGGGCTCCATTCTTATACCACAGTAAGGCTACAGAGTACAGACTTAGAATCAGAGGAAAGGTGTTCAAGCCTGTCCCTGTCCCCTCCCCAATCCCTTATTTACTCCAGAATAAATAGGTAAGGAGAAGAATAAACAACCCTTGTAAGAACCTGTACTCCTGTTCCAAGGAGCAGTGGGGAAAACTATTTATGATGAAGAATTTATTATAAACCCTTTCTGAAACTGAAATTCAACACACTGGAGGAAAGGGGCAGGATGCCAGGAGGGAGGAAAAGAGCTGATAATGAATGTAGGAGGGTTCCCAAATGACTCTGCCTTCCAACCTTGCTACTCAAAATCCTCCTCAAAGGTACAGGCAACCAAGGTTTATTTATCTTATTTGTTGTTTTGCAGACATTTAGCACAGCCAGCATAAGGAAATCAAATTTTGTGGTTTCTGGCTGGCTCGCTCTCCAAAACACTGTCATACCAGTTAGGCACTCTTTTAGAAAGGGAGGATTCAGCAATAACTCAGTGACTGAATTCTAACACTCCCAAGGCCTGGATTCTCAGACTTGTGGCCAGTTTTGTTTTTTTTTTTTAAACGAAGCAAATATCCTTGTGGTTTGATTTTTCCATTTCTTTGTTGATGCATATAAAAATCAGATGGAAATATTCTCATAAAGACTTCAAGGACAAATGAAAAAACAGACCACAAGTGAAACAGCTCAAGAAAATAGCACTGCCAAAGTCTTTTTTTTTGACGGGGGGCGGGCTGGGGTGGGGCGGGATTGCCAACATTTTGCAATTCTACATTCAACCATGGTTTTAAAAACAAAAGTCAAAGGCAGAGACTCTGAAAAGATGGCGTCTGAATGGCTTACCCTGGTCAGGCTCGACGCAACCACTGTTAATATCAAGTTCTTCTGATGGTGAGTTTTTCGAGGGAAGTCTGAGCACTTTGCCTTGTGCACGATATTCTTCCAGCTCAGACTGGAGTTCATCTACTTGGTCTTGTAATAGCTGGAGTTTAAAAACCAATACAAGTCTTAGATGTGATGTCAAAAACACAAGCAACAAAAGAAAAATTAAACTGTACATCATCAAAATTAAAAACTTTTGTGCTTCAAAGGATACCAACAAGAAAGTAAAAACACAACCCACAGAATGGGAGAAAAGTTTCTGTAAATTATATATCTGATAAGGGACTTGATTGTACAATATATAAAGAACTATTACAACTTAATAATAAAAAGACAAATAACACATTTAAATATTCAGCAAAGGATCCGAAGACACATTTCTCCAAAGAAGATAAGCAAATGAAAAGATACTCAGTGTTATTAGCCATCAGGGAAATGCAAATCAAACTCACAATGATACCACTTAATACCCACTAGGATGGCTAAAATAAAAAAGACATACATGTATCCCCATATCCCCTCCTTCTTGAGCCTCCCTCCGTATCCCACCCCTCTAGGTCGTCACAAAGCATCGAGCTGATCTCCCTGTGCTATGCAACAGCTTCCCACTGGCCATCATTTTACATTTGGTAGTGTATGTATGTGCATGCCACTCTCTCACTTCGGCCCAGCTTCCCCTCCCCCACGTGCCCTCAAGTCCGTTTTCTACATCTGTGTCTTTTTTCCTGCCCTGCCACTAGGTTCATCAGTACCATTTTTTTAGATTCCATGTATGTGCATTAGCATACAATATTTGTTTTTCTCTGTCTGACTTACTTCACTCTGTGTGACAGACTCTAGGTCCATCCACCTCACTACAAATAACTCAGTTTCATTTCTTTTTATGGCTGAGTAATATTCCATTGTATATATGTGCCACACCTTCTTTATCCATTCATCTGTCAATGGACACTTAGGTTGCTTCCATGTCCTGGCTATTGTAAATAGTGCTGCAATGAACATTGTGGTACATGACTCTTTTTCAATTATGGTTTTCTCAGGGTATATGCCCAGTGGTGGGATTGCATATGTATACATATAGTTGATTCACTTTGTGGTACGGCAGAAACTAATACAACACTGTAAAGCAATTATACTCCAAAAAAGATATATTTTTTAAAAAGACATATAATAACAACTGTTGGCAAGGATGTGGAGAAATTGCAACTCTCATATTGGTGGGAATGTAAAATGGTGCAAACATCTTGGGAAAAATTTGGCACTTCCTCAAAAGGTTAAACATACAGTGATCATATGACCCACGAATTCCACTCCTAGGTACATACCCAAGAGAAATGAAAGCGTATGTCCACACAAAAACTTGCACACAGGACTTCCCTGGTGTCACAGTGGTTAAGAATTCATCTGCCAATGCAGGGGACACGGGTTCGACCCCTGGTCTGGGAAGATCCCACATGCCATGGAGCAACTAAGCCCATGCTGAACTACTGAGCCTGCACTCTAGAGCCCATGAGCCACAACTACTGAGCCCATGAGCCACAACTACTGAAGCCCGCGCACCCTAGAGCCCTCACGCTGCAACTATTGAGCCCACGCACCGCAAATACTGAGCCCACGCACTGCAACTACTGAAGCCCACATGCTCTAGGGCCCGTATGCCATGACTGCTGAGCCCGTGTGCTGCAGCCAGTGAAGCCCGTGTGCCACAACAAGAGAAGCCGCCGCAGTGAGAAGCCCACACACCGCAATAAAGAATAACCCCCACTCACCACAACTAGAGAAAGGCCACACAGCAACAAAGCAGCCAAAATAAATAAATAAATAAACCAGTGTGTACATGTCAATCCCAAACTCCCAGTCTATCCCTCCCTCCCACCCTTCCCTGCTGGTAACCATAAGTTTGTTCTCTAAGTCTGTGAGTCTGTTTCTGTTTAAAAAAAACAAAACCAAACCAAACTCGCACACAAGCGTTCACAGCAGCATTGTTCACAATATTCACGGTAACCCAATGTCCACCAACTGATGAACGGTTAGACAAAATGTGGCACAGCTATATAATGGAATGTTATTCAGCAATGGAAAGAAGTGAAGTACTGATACATGCTACAGTATGCACGAACCTTGAAAACGTATGCCAAATGAAGGAAGCCAGTCACAAAGGATGACATATTGTATAATTCCATTTACAGGAAATGTAAAGAATAGGCAAAACCAAAGAGACAGCAAGTAGGTTATTAGTTGTCTAGGGCTGGGGGTCATGGGAGAGATTACAGCTAGGTGGAGAGGTAGTTTCCTTCTGGGTGATGAAAATGTTCTAAAATGTACTATGGTAATGGTTGCACAATTCTGTGAGTATACTAAAGGAGACTGAATTATACACCTTAAATGGGTGAGTTGTATGGTTATGAAAAACCATTTAAAAAAATAAGTGGACAAATTTGGGGAATTTTTGGAGGTAGAGCTGACAGATTTGACTGATGAAATAACTAGAAGCATAGGAGAGCACACCTCTACTTGATTAGAGTCAAGAGCCATAACTTATTTAGAAGAGTGGCATAAATGTTTCATTTCTTTTCTCAAAGTGTGCATGTGTATTTCCTGAGAAGGTAGGCTATGAACAACCTCATAAGGAGGTGATTGTTTTCTTCGTTTCTGCCCAAGTACAGTGTTCACCTAAAGCAGTTAGAACTCAGTTATGCCTGCCTTGTTAAAATAAACAAGTGTCTGTGGCTTAAGGGAAAAAAAAACCCCACATTCCTGAGCTTAGGAGAGTTACTTTTTTAAAAAATCAAAGATTCCTATTATTTATAAGGATGTTTTTGTGTCCTCTGGTAGGAATTTGTAATGACTTACTACTTAAAGACTTGAGTGGTTTCTGCTCCATTTGCATTTTGTAAATAAAATAAGGACTGTATTCAGGAAAAAAAACCACAGAACAAAAGCAAATTATATCAGCCTGCGTTGATCGCTCAGGAAAGACTAGTTTTGGAATAAGCACATCAACATGACCACGTTTTCCTTCTCTTAGAATAAAACTTTATTTTCCTCCAATTACTGGCAATTTCCGACCCAGATAAAGCAGACAAATGCAGTCTGCATGATTCTCTCGTATTTCAGGATACTAAACAATAACATTAACAACCAGCACGTAGGTTAAGTGTTTTCTGTGTCTCAGGCTCTGTTCTAAGCACTTTACATATATTTACTCATTGACTCTCCACAACAACCTTATCTGGTGGGTACTCTTATTTTTGCTATCTCATAGGTGAGGAATTGAAACACCCGCAGATTAAGTGATGTGCTCATGGCCACACAGCTAGTAAATGGTGAAGCAGTATTTGAACCCAGGCACTCCTCCGCTAAGTTCTCTTCAGTCACTCACCCTGCACTGCTGCCCATATTCATTTCTCATCTGTGTCAGCCTTTCTTCTTGCAAAAAGAATTCAGCACTGCTGGGATCAAGGTCACCAAACTAGAAAATGAAAAGGGCAAAGTTGTCATTTTTTCCAAATGTCCTTCTTTGACCTATAATGTACCAAAGACCCAAGTTTCTGGTGTTCACCCAGTGTCTGGAGTATGAAAGGAATGTGACATTTAAGCAGAAACACCATCAATTAGATGATGGGGAGAAGATTCTAGAGTGATGTGTTCAGTCAAAGCAGAGATTGTTTCTCAGTGCCACGCCATGTTTCCCTCGTATAAATTAAATCCCTGCAAAAATGACAGCTTCCTTTAGTCACATAAATAATTCCATAAAAGAAATTTTCTTGGTGGCATAGCTTCTGCTCTTTTGAGTGAACTACACTTTGGGGCTACATATCAGGAAATCAAATTTAAAGACTTACCTTTTCTGCCAAAACATTTTCCAAATTTCGCTTAAGTTTGTTTGTCAGATTCTCATACTCTGCCAACTTCTCTGCATTTTCCAGAAGCTCATTTTCTAGACGACTGTTTTCCTGAAGAAATTTGGGGAAATTAAGTGGGCACAGATTAAGAAATAAACTGTTGTACCATTTTATAGCACACATACATCAATGCTCTAGATTGAGAAAATGTGTTCATCTTGAAAGTTTCAGTACATTAGAGCAGAAAAAGTAAATATTAAAAAACTGATATCTATCTTATAACCTCAAAGCATGCCTCCTGGAGGCATGCTTTTCTTGATCCTACAGAACCATGCTGCCCAACAGTGGTCACAAGCAGTCACAGGTAACTATGGAGCACCTGAAATGTATACAGCACAAACTGAGATGTGCTGTGAATATAAATATTCACCAGATACTGAAGAGTTAGAACAGAAACACAAAAACTCAGTAATAATTTCTGTAGATGAATTACAAGTCAAAAAGATACTGTTTTGGAGACATTAGATTAAATAAAAAATGATTTAAAATTAAATTCACCTGCTTCTTTTTACCTTTTAATGTGCCTGTTTGAAAATCTGAAATTACATATATGGCTTGATTTGTATTTCTAATTCGACAGCATTGCAGTAGAAAATTTAATGACGTGAATAACATTCTCAATAAACTGTCAGATGAAAGACTGGCTGCAGAATACCTTGTTCATCTGACAGCAAAAGAGAACTCAAAAAAACTATAAAAAGTAGGATAGCTCTAACAATTTTCATTTAATGATGATATAGATATGTTATATTTAATTTACAATTTTATTTTGGTTTAAAGATGTAAAAACTATACATACAGGTTTTTCATAATTTTTATTTTGAATTATTATAATAAAATATCAACCAAAGTCCACAAAAGGTGGGGTTTTTCTGTATATAAAACACTTGTAAGATTTCCACCCACATTTGTCAAAAAAATAAAACCACATGGATGTGCCATTTGACATATTTTCTATTCCAATGCTAAAGGATAATTGGAAGAACATTATTTTCAAAGTATATTTTGCCAAAAGAATATAGAGCCAATATATCTTAAATACATTCTTGTTCACACCCTCACACAGTAACATGGAGTGAAAAAGAATGTGCTTGAAGTGTTTTTAAAAAATACTACCTTCCCCCAAAATGCCAGTTCTACAACTCTAATCTTCCAAAGTGTGTCTAAATTTAGATGTTAAAACAATCAGGAGCAGGGCTTCCCTGGTGGCGCAGTGGTTGAGAGTCCGCCTGCCGATGCAGAGGACACGGGTTCGTGCCCCAGTCTGGGAAGATCCCACATGCCGCGGAGCGGCTGGGCCCGTGAGCCATGGCCGCTGAGCTTGCGCGTCCGGAGCCTGTGCTCCGCAACGGGAGAGGCCACAACAGTGAGAGACCCGCGTACCGCAAAAAAAAAAAAAAAAAAAAAAACCAATCAGGAGCAATTTCTGTGTATTGGGCCTGTGTTGATGCTCTGGAAACTGACCAATCAGCTTCTGTTGCTGACCACAGGGAACACACAATCGGGACCGTGGCCGGGGAGGCAGCTATGGATACAATTATCTATGATGTGACAGAAAATATGCTATCTTCTGGCAAGAAAAAAAAAAAGTGTAATGGGAATGAAAAAGTAGTTTGGCCTGCAGTGTTGGAGAAAGCAGTGAAGGAGCCTAAAAGCTTACTGAGGAACTGAGACAGCTGAGGGCAGGTGCAGCAGGGTTGAGGGCATGGCCCTGGGGGTTGCTGGCAGGATCTGAGGTTAGAAAGGCATGAGGACAAGCTCCCTTTCAGGGTCCTTCAGTGCTGCTATGTTGCACTTTTACAGAGGGAACAGCATGATTTTAAGTGTTCTTAAGTAAGGTAACTCCGGTGACAATATGGAGGTTGGATAGATGGAAAAAAGGATGCACACAGGTCAGCTGAGAAATCGTGATGAATTGTGAACCTCTTCAGAGGCTGTGAAAATGGAGAGATGGGATAAATCTGAGAAGCATTTCAGAGCATCAACGGGACTCAGAAACTGATAATCAAGGATGACCGAGGACTTTAGCTTCTATGACTTTCAGCACAGGTGGTGATGTAGATTAGGGAGAAAATTCCAGAGAGGAAGCAGTTTGATGGTTAGGAAGTGAGAATTAGCTCAGTTTTTGATGTGTGGAGTTTCAGGAACCTTTTATAACTTCAACAGTAGTGAATATTCCATAGGTACTTATTACCTTCTAGATACTGTGTATGTAGCAACTCATTTAATCTCCATATCAATGCTATGGGGGTAGGTATTAGGATGGTGCCTCTTTTGTGCATTAAGAAACAGGTTTGAGTAACTTGATCAAGGTTTTCTGTAAGTAGTCGTATCCAGATTGGAACCAGGCAGTCTTGAGGCCAGACCCCCCCCTACCCCGCCCACCCTTTATCTTTAGATAACACTGTACCATATTATCTGGTGTCAGAGTCCAATAAAGAGAAGGATCACTTCTTCTACTGAGGCACAGGGAAGGACAGGAGGATGTATAAGGGAAAAGGTACATTTGGAAGCAAAGAAACAAAGCTGATGGCCTCTGTGTGGCAGGAAATAAAGTCATCTGCTAAGAATGAGGAAGGGGGAGAGCAAGGAAGGAACAGAGCATCAACCAGGAGGCAAACAGCCCTGAGGACCCAGTGCAACTTCCGGGGGTAAGAACAAGATACGCTGTTGGCAAACCAGAAGCCTAGACACTCCTGAAATCTAGCTCCCAGTGGGGGCTCTACCATGTCCGGTCATGACCCAGCTGGGCAGACTTATGAGCCCTGTGCAGACCTGTCCTCTTACAGAGCTGTGGTTTTCCATGTGTATTCCCAGCAGGGACACAGACTGTACAACCAATAGGATAATTACCTTTAAAGAGAGGGCAAGGCGGTCCCGGGTGTAATTCTCTTCTGTTTTTGCCTTTTCAATTTCCTGCTCAAGTTCCAAACGCTGCTTGCCCACCTGTTGTAGGATCTGTTCTCTCTCCTTTCGAAGCTCATTCTTTAAGGCTGCTATTCGTTCCTTGTACTCTTCATCCAGTTTCCTGTGAGGAGGAAAGACTGACAAGCTGCCATCAAATCCCTCAGAGGTCCCTACGTGGATCCACCAAAAATGGAAACACAGAGTCACAGACATGGGAAGCTCCTTGAGAAAGTGTCTAGTGAATCCTGCTTTCCTTGAGGCTTGGCCACACCTAAGTCACTCCGGCCAGGTGTGGCCAAGCGGGCAGGGAGGCTGAGCCCCACTGCCCTGGGCCAGGGCGGTGGGAAAGGAGGGTCCTGGCCCAGCCAGTCGTACCTGAGGTTGTACTCATTCCGCCGCTCTATGGCTGCGTGGTGATCGTCCACCTCTGAGGCCATTAGAGACTTGAGCTTCTCAGCTTTTTCCAGATCTGACCGTAGCTTCTCTTTTTCTCTGACCACTTGATCAACTTGCTCCCTAGAATCAGAAAGAAACCAAGTATGCGGGAAACTGTTTCTAAGCAACAAGTAGACCCCAAAAAGCTCTCATCTGGCTTGCTTCAATACAAACACAAAACCAAGACAACCAAAACCCTTCAAAAACACACAGACATTCCACACAGACATTGAAGAGACATTCCTCTTCAAAAGACTACATGCAAATCTAAGCTCTACCTCATTTTCACAGAAGTGAGATGATAGGCGATTAGCCACATCTGCGTACAGGATGGAAGAATGTATGCCACAGGCATCTGAATGACTTGCTCGACAAGTAGGAAAGGGAATAGAGCAGGTGAACCTTCTGCTTAACTCACAGCAAATGCCGGATCTCAGCCTTAAAGCTGGCCAGAGCTGCCTGGTGAATGCTGTTCTTGGTAACCAAAAGTTCATTTTCCAGAGCCAGCGTCAGTTCTGTCAAATTAACATTTCCATCAAGGCTGAAATCCAAGGCCTAGAAATCAGAACAAGTTCAAGACAATCACAAGTTCTATCCTGTGAAAGCAGGAAATGTGAAGGTTATACAAACTCACAGAACTGAATTTACAGTCTCCAGGCTGGATGCTTACATTTCTTTAGTGATTGCTTAGGAACGATATTCAATCTACAGCATAACTAAGCTCTCTCTAAGAAAAACATAACGTGATTATTTGCAAATTTTTTAAAAAATTGCTATCTGGCACTGTAAATAAACACAACGGTAAAGCTCTAATCTTTACCAACCAGAGATCAGCTAAGAAATTTCTTATCAATAATTTAGGGATTAAAAACATGGAAAGAGGTTATCAATAATCCTGGTTGAAGTGCGTAGGAAAAGTTACCTCTTACGTCTGAGATCTTGTGAACAGAAGAATCATTAAGGAGAAATCGAATCAAATCACAGTTTCAAAAAAATGGAATTTTTCAACCCTGCCCCAATTCGTCATTTTTCTCTCATTTTAGCTGCCACACCTTCAGGATCTCCTGGCTGTTCTCAATGCCCTCTTCATGCCAGGTGTCAAGTATTCTCTCCACTGATGCGTAGCCCATCCCATCATCCAGGCAGGAGAAGACCCGAAAGCCAATGGTACTTGTCATCGCAGACGGGGTTGTGGTCCGTCGTCCACTCTCATCGAAAGACTGGAAGAAGAAAGAGACTTAAGCAAGCTCAGGCGTTGCAACATGGTGTTGGTCAAGACCAAAACTGGTCAGTCCTGACCACAAGGAGCAGAAGGCATGTCTCTCTAATTTATACTGCTAGGATAAGAAGTCACGCAGCCCCTTTGATCTCCCTTTCCTAAGTCAGCCTAGAATGCAAAGCTTATCTACCATGGACCTGGCCGAGAGTTCCTTCATATAGAGGAAATGTGCCTCTACTTAACATCAGGTTTCTTCTGACCTACAGCTAACACGAAGGGGCATAAGTAGTGGTCTTCCTACTGTAATTTATGGTCATTTCTCAAACCCAACTTTTCCTTCCCCACTGGTTCAGTCTTTCTTTACTACTCTTCTTTTGCCTCTCTTTCTCCTCAGTATTTTTCTTCAGACAGCAGATTAATTCATTAGAAATTATTCAAATAGATTTTAACTTCTACTCACAAAGAAACCACTTCCTATTTATTTCTTACCTGCATGGAGAGGTGCCTTTTCAATTGTCTATATGGGGTAGATGCTGATGGGGTAAGGGATTTTCCATTTTTGAACAAGCCGTAGAAAAAATCTTCTACACTCATCGTACCATCAGGATCAAGATTATGGAAGACTTCTTCAAGCATCTAGAAAAGGGTAACCATATATTTTAACTATTTCACTCAAAAAACCCCACAAGGCCCAAAGTACACTTCCAGCCAACAGATATTGGCACCACTCTTGATCCCAGGACTCCAGAAATATAACATGTCCCTTTATTCTCACTTGACTGAATTTTTTTCCTTTCTAGTAATATGTCCTTCCCCCTCACATAAACTAAATAAAATTCATTTTCAACATTGTCATAATTTTATGCAATTCAGCATTTAACTGTTTTCTCTTTTGCTCATACTGTTAGAACGGGTAATCTTTAATGTTACTACATGTTATTCTTGCGAATTAAAGAAGTACTTAAAAATATAAAGATATAGCTTCCCGGTGTTGTAACAACAGAAAATAGTTAAGACGTTCATTAAGCCGTTATATTATGGTGACTCCACATGATATTTTGCTTATATTGAATTTTGGAAATTGGTACGTTAGCACGGCAGAATTGGGTCTGGGACAGATGGCAATGATCTAATAGTTTGGGTCTGAAACCCATGACTTGGGATTTAGAACATTACTTGGAACAGCACTGCGTGTTTGGGGTCTTTATTTCTTTTAATGCTTTAGCACAGGAGAAGTGAGGACTGGATAGGAAGGATTTCATGTGTATACAATAGAAGGGTCCCTCCAAGAGATGTAAAGAGAAGGGAATTTTGCCTGACTACTTTGCACCCTGTGACAGTTATCAAGTAGTCCTCACCACATACAGTCCCTTCTAGAGGCTTGCTAGGAGATGGTTTGTTCCCTAGCTTAATAGAGGAATGGAAAAGGGAATAAGCAGCATGAATCATGGATACCGCAAAACAGGGAGGGAAGGCGAAGACCTCCACCCTCACAGTCAGCTTCCTCTTTATTTGGGGGGCTAAAATTTTTCTATAGGACATGCCCCCAGTGTACAAAACAGAAATCACCTGAGAATCCTGTTAAAATGCAGACTCTGATATAGTTAAATCTGGGGGTAGGGCCTAAGATTCTGCATTTCTAACAAGGTGATGCCCAGTTTGCTGAGTAGCAAGGAATAGAACAAGCAACAAACTTAACTCTTGTTGCATCTGAGCCTACACCTGGTTCCATTCTAACAAAGGCCTCTTTGTAGCAAATCCTCAAATTTTCAATATTCACTTCTTAAGTCCGGACTATTGCTAGGACTCCTGTCATCTCATAATTGTTGATTTTATCCTTCATCTAAGTGCCTGAGGCATTTCTTTTATCCAATGCTTTTTTTTTTTCCAATTCATACCCAATAGGAAACATCTGTCTCTATCCTTGTTTTTATACCACTTCCTCTGCAGAGGACTCTGAAACAAGAAAATGATTCTAAAGAGTGGAAATCTTGGGAAGAAGCAACAGTTCCTAATAGAGAAGCATATGATGAAACAGATGGAAAGGTATTTGGGGCAAAATTCTGAAGTTGCCAAGCTCCCTTAGCTTCTCCGTCTGGTTCTTATCAACCAAAAGAACACTTTCTTAGAGGACTAGGCTTTCAGGACTGTCAAACCAGAAGTCACAGTAAAATCCAAGTGTGCTGACTGAAGCGAATCAGCATATTTGGCTCTAACCTTAGCTCCACGTGGGTTGGCCCTGTGACCTTGGCCAAATCAATGCACAGCTTCCTGACTGCCTAAACACCCATCACCTGATCCATCTGAAGTGCTGGAGTAAGTAAATCCAGCCAGTTATTGTACGTGGGGGAGTGGACAAGTAATGAATAAAGGGATGTGGATTCAGAAGAGGGTGGATGGGCAGGGCTGGGCTGACAAGAATACAAGTCAGTGGGCAACTAGGGCACCCCCTGCAGTCTGTGCAGGAGCTGAATCTAGAACCCTGAGGACATTCTTACTCCCCATCACCAGCCAGGTCTTTGGATGGTTGATTTCCCAATGTGTAAGTTGGGAAATAATGCACTAGAATAGGGATCACAAATACCCCGAGGGGCCAGGAAGGTGATGTAAATAAATGAGGCAGGATGGTCCTGAGACATTAGGAAGTGGAGCCTTTTAAACCTGGAACACGAGTGCATGCCCTGTCCAAAGGGGCTAGCTGCTTCTCACTGCCAGCAAAATGGAGCCAAATCTTCTGATTTTTAGAAAAATCTCCTGATTTAAAAAAGTATAGCAAAAAATTCAATTTTTAAACATTGGGTAGGCGACGTAGCCCTTAGGTCATATTTGGCAGCTAGGGTGACAGTTTGCCATCCCTGCCCTACAGTCGTCCTTGCTTCTGGAAAGCAGGGCACTAGTTTTAGCCTTAAGACAGTGAATCTAGTTTCCCTTCATGATGGTGGCAACAGGCAGCAGTGATCTCTCTCTTTATCTATAAAAATGAGGGGTGACTAGATCTAAAATTGCTTTCAGTCGTAAAATTCTAGGATTCCAAGTTGTATGCTGATGAGATCATCTTGAACTTTCAGCTCCGCTGTGGTCTAGAGCTAGTAATACAAAGTACTATAGCGTTTCATGATTTTGGTGGGGAGGAAAAACACTAAGTAAAAGCTACATTCAATTAGCAATCCTTTACTCATCCTCACATCAGAAGAAAATAAATGTGCTGCTTCTTTTCCTGGGTTCTGGAGTCTCCACCACAGAAGAAAATGCAACTCCCCACAAATAGCTAAGTTTATTCCAAGATTTGTTCTTAGATAAATAATCCAAGTTTGTGCAATATTTCTTGGCAGAACAACCCAAGGTTCTGCATACTGCGCTGGTTTATAATTTAGGAGGATGAATTTAATTTTATGACTCAACAGCCATCACTGAAAAAGAAATGACGACTGAGCCATTAAAATGTAGTCAGAGGGTGTGCAATGGTCACATACACAAGGGAGAAGTGGGGGAAAGAGCTTTTCTGCAAGCTACACTACTTGGAAGCTTTTGATAATAAACCTCTTTCTGGTTTAGGAAAATAATACCACTTATCCTCTGAGCAAGCAGATAACATGGTTTCAAATATCATTATAATCAAAGTTTCCCAAAGCTACAACTGTAGCCCTAAGCTCTAAGTCCCTCCAATCCTTATTTTCAGCTCTTTGAAAGACATATCTTGGAATTAATTACATTCTTATGTTTCATGGCTGTTCATGCACCCAGTCCTGCCACCCCTCTTAATTTTTTAGAAAACGTAAAGTTCAGAATTTTACCGAGCAGGAGTCTTTCGGGGGCTCCTTCAGGACTCTTCTGTTGTACATTTTCAAAACCACCAACCTACCCTTTTCCCTTTCCTCATGACCAGATTACTGTGATGGCTCCTGGCTCGTCTCCTAATCTAAGGCTCTCTTTACACCACTATATCCCATAAAAGAAGTTCAGACCACCCTCAGCAAGTAAGTTTTTCCTGTGTATTATTACTTAATCTGCTTAAGAACCCAGGGGTGATATTGAGATCTTCTCTCCAAAAAACTTACCAGCCTGCCCTTCAAAATATTCCCCCAACTCAAATCTCCTCAACTCCCCTCTTCGTCCTTCCTCTACACCTTTCCCACATTTTGCTCTGTGAATGCCACATCTACACATAGACTGACATCACGCTACACTGAACTGGTGTCTGATAGTAATGTGGGGTAATGTGCTTTAGCACAGTGAGGGGCACACAGTACGGGTTCAGTAAGTGTCAGCTATTGTCAGTTTTTCTTTTCCACAATACAGCATGAGGTCCTCAGAGACAGGATCTTCATGGCTGACTTCCCAGGAAAAAAAGAGAATGGAGTCTCTGTAACATGCTGCAGGAAACTGAAATATGGCTATTCCTAGCCTGTGGCCAGTTTAGCTTTCATCATGATTACTATTCCTGAATAAAAATACGATGCAAGGCTTACCTCTCCATCGACATTCTGCAAACCATACTGCTCACAGATGGAGATCAGCTTCTTCCGGTTTAGGTGACCATCACGGGTGATCCCCAAATCTTCACAAACCTCCTGCAGTTTCTCTTCTATCCAGTCTTGGGGAGGGGAAGGCCCACTTTGTGAGGCATTCAAATCATCTGGGTTCCAAAATCTTAACTGGCCTAAAATAAAAGTATACAGTGTGTTGTCCCTAAAGGAACTGAGAGCCTATTCTCAAAGAAAAATGTGCTTTTTGAAAATAAATGCTATAAGAAAGAGAGTACAGATGTTGATTTGATTTGATCCTGAAGTTCAAATGAAGTGGAACTATTGGTTCTTAGGCTGCAACTAGGGCCAACAGACACTTTTTTGTTCATCGGCAGTCATACCTATGTAAGAAATACCATCTCCTGTGCAGTAATGCCAAGGTCCTAGGCTTATTTTATTCCAAAGGAAAATATGCACAGGCTTAGGCTTTGGAGTGATCAGAAGAGAAGGCTGGTTGAGAGCCATTCTAAGGAGCTTTATATGCCCTACCTCAGCTATAGCTACCGGACTTTATTATCTCCACTTTCTTTCTAGTCTAAGCTCTGTTTTTACTGAGAAGGAAATAATTTCATGATAAATATCATAAAATGATTATAAAAGGCAAGATTAGCCTGTTTCCAAATCTTTACACATACGAATATTCTGACCTATAAGGATTCCAACTTGAAAGAATAAATGTTTGCCAGGGCAAGTTATTAATTACTGGTATATTAAGGATAAGTTCTATTTGAAGATTTAAGGATCAAACTACTTATTTAAAAATAAAAATTTATTTATCCTCTATTAAAAGTTCTCACTTGTAGTTAAAATTTACTTCCATATTAGAGATTCTGTAAAGTCATTACTTAAACATGAGCTAATTACTGACAAGATTGTGTGTGCCTGGAAGAACCTTAGAGAGTTGAGAAGAGCATTTAGTGCTACCCCTACTATTTATCAAAGACATTAAGCCCATCACCACTGTGTCTTTACAGGTTGGAGACCTAGAGAACATGTAATTACACTTAAGTACAGTTAATCCAGGGTAGGCTGTGAAGTGGGCTGAGGTTCCGTCAGCTGAACCACAGTGCCATCTGCTGGCCAGAATATCAACGTGTTTTGATCTATCTTAAATACATCTGAAACTTGTCAAGGGATACATTTTTTTAAACATAAACTTATTTATTTTGGCTGCGTTGGGTCTTCGTTGCTGCGCGCGGGCTTTCTCTAGTTGTGGAGAGCGGGGTCTACTCTTGGTTGTGGTGCGCAGGCTTCTCACTGCAGTGGCTTCTCTTGTTGCGGAGCACGGGCTCTAGAGCGCAGGCTCAGTAGTCGTGGCGCACGGGCTTAGTTGCTCCGCGGCATGTGGGATCTTCCCGGACCAGGGCTCGAACCCGTGTCCCCTGCACTGGCAGGCGGATTCTTAACCACTGCGCCACCAGGGAAGCCCTGTCAAGGGATACATTTTAACAGGTAACTATTTAGTTTTGGATTGTTCATAGATTAATGTGAAAGTCTATGTAAGAGAGTAATTAACCCATAAGTGAAATTCTACATCTTAGTTGCCACATCTTGCATGATGCTAAATGCAAGGATTTAAAACTACGAGCTCTCAACTGGGAATCAATTTTCTGTTGCTGCTGTTCTTCAGGTTATTTCTTAGTTGGCCTCCAGCAGGCAAGGTGGTTAGTAAGAAGGTAAGGGATGCAGGAAGGGGATGTGGAGAGTGCCCTGTGAATGGCAGCCCCTCCTTCCCAGGCAGGCCCCATGCACACTCAATTCCTACCTTCTGCTTCATACTCCTCGCTGCGCTGCGTCTTCCAGTTCTAGAGGAGGCAAGAGAAGATGAGTGTGTTTTAGAACTAATTCTGTTCTTCCAAGACCCGATCACTCTCTGGCTCTGAAATCATCATCTGAGTGAGTCACATGATTCGGGACCCTTCAGTGCGTTCACCCAGGTTGGCTGTCCTCAGTCAACAAGCCAATTAACAGGAGACTCCCGAGAAACACGCCACAGCCTTCTGCAGCATCGCACCAAGGATTTGCCTTTCACACTTGTGAGGTGGCATCACTTACTCAACAGCAAAACCTATCACAACCAGTAAAATCAGGCTGAAGCAAATATTCAGAATCCATCAACTAACAGGAGTTTGTACGCATGCATTTATGAATTTGTTCTTCAATAAATGTTTAATGGGTGTGAGGTATTATGCTATAATCTTTGGAATACAGCTATGAACAGGACAAGCATATTTCTTGTCTCAAGAAGTTTATATGCTGACAAAGACATGCAGACAAGAAAACAGAGAGTACAATATTGTAATGTAGTTAAGTGCTATTATGGGGGAGTTCAAGAAGGGGTACCTAACTGGGGTGTCCTTCAGCCTTGTGAGTTCAGGGTAGACTTCCTGCAAGAAGCAAGGTCTAACTGAGACCTGAGGGATAAGCTGGAGACAGCCAGGTGGAAAGAAAGGAGCAGTTACTATTTGCTGACATGTGGAGACCAGAATGAGTGAGCCTGGTGTGTTTCTGGCACACTGAGGAGACAGAGATGCAACCCAAAGCAGGTAGGCTAGAAAGGTCAAGTTAAGTAAAATGTACGATACCAGTAAATTATATTAAAAGCAGTGAAATTGATCTGAACTAGATCATTTTGTCCCCTTATCGTGCTGTGTTACTACTGGGTCTTTTCCAAGTCACAGCGTGCAGTTGTAGTTTGTGTACTGCACAAAAGCACCCAGCCCAGGGCACAGGTCAGAACCAAAATCCAGCCCATGCTCCACAGGCAAGCACGCAAAGATCTGCTTCCAACCACTGGCAACGAGTAGGTCCACAGTGGTCTCCGGCCTCATCAGTAAGCTTCCTAATCACTCCTGTTGGTAGGTTCTACAACCATCTCAGGCAGGAAACTCTGTTGAGAAAAGGTGTATCCCCCTTTTAAAACCTGCTGCTGTCTCAGCAAAGATCCAACTTTATGAATGAAGCTGCCTTTGATAACAAATAACCAGCCTACTCTCCACGGTGGCTGAACTGTACAAGGTGAACTGATTTCTTAGATCCTGTAATGAACTCAACAGGAAAATAAGCCTGATTAACTCCCATCTCCAGAGCCTAGATTCCTCATGGCAGACAGTGTGCAACCTAAAATTCTTAGGTTAAATATTTCAGTAGCTTGTTCAAGTTGATACGAGTTGAAGTTCTTTCAGGCAACCTAGGCACATCTATTTTGTTGCTCTCCTCTTAGCTGAAGGACAACTATCTACCAGGATTTCACAGTTCCGTATTTCACTCAGAAAGATACTGAAGATAGTACCAGTTCAAAGCGTTCACCAAACTTTGCCACACTAAGCTGAAACCCCAGACTGACAGCACTGAGATAAATTATTCTTGCCACAGAGAGACATTAAAAAGGCTATAATTCAAAATATATTAGCTCACAACAACTCATTCAGATTACAACTGAAAGTCACTAATATACATGGTATATCTATGGAAGGTGAATTGGTGCACAGTGTGATTTTTTACTTGTTTGTGATTACAATTTTATCAGGCTACATTTCCCCATAAAGACATATCTCAACTCTGATGGATGGATATGAGGTGTGAGGGTGGGGAGGGAGCAATGGAGGAAATAGCACTCTAGATTTTCTTATTATTGATTCTGGGCAGAATTCAATTGTTTTTACTTTTTTTATTTTTTAACATCTTTATTGGAGTATAATTGTTTTACAATGGTGTGTTAGTTTCTGCTGTATAACAAAGTGAATCAGCTATACGTATACATATATCCCCATATCTCCTCCCTCTTGTGTCTCCCTCCCACCCTCCCTATTCTACCCCTCTAGGTGGTCACAAAGCACCGAGCTGATCTCCCCGTGCTATGTGGCTGCTTCCCACTAGCTATCTGTTTTACATTTGGAAGTGTATATATGTCCATGCTACTCTCTCACTTCGTCCCAGCTCACCCTTCTCCCTCCCCGTGTCCTCAACTCCATTCTCTACATCTGCGTCTTTATTCCTGTCCTGCCCCTAGGTTCTTCAGAACCATTTATTTTTTAGATTCCATATATACGTGTTAGCATACAGTATTTGTTTTTCTCTTTCTGACTCACTTCATTCTGTATGACAAACTCTAGGTCCTTCCACCGCACTACAAATAACTCAATTTCATTTCTTTTTATGGGTGAGTAATATTCCATTGTGTATATGTGCCACATCTTCTTTATGCATTCATCTATCGATGGACACTTAGGTTGCTTCCATATCCTGGCTATCGTAAATAGAGCTGCAATGAACATTGTGGTACATGACTTTTTTGGATTATGGTTTTCTCACAGTATATGCCCAGTAGTGGGATTGCTGGGTCATATAGTAGTTCTATTTTTAGTTTCTTAAGGAACCTCCATACTGTTCTCCATAGTGGCTGTATCAATTTACATTCCCACCAACAGTGCCAGAGGGTTCCCTTTTCTCCACACCCTCTCCAGCATTTATTGTTTGTAGATTTTTTGATGATGGCCATTCTGATCGGTGTGAGGTGATATCTCATTGTAATTTTGATTTGCATTTCTCTAATGATAAGTGATATTGAGCATCCTTTCATGTGTTTGTTGGCATTCTGTATATCTTCTTTGGAGAAATGTCTGTTTAGGTCTTCTGCCCATTTTCGGATTAGGTTGTTTGTTTTTTTGATATTGAGCTGCATGAGCTGCTTGTATATTTTGGAGATTAATGCTTTGTCAGTTGCTTCATTTGCAAATATTTTCTCCCATTCTGAGGACTGTCTTTTCGTCTTGTTTATGGTTTCCCTTGCTGTGCAAAAGCTTTTAAGTTTCATTACGTCCCGTTTGTTTATCTTTGTTTTTATTTCCATTTCTCTAGGAGGATCTTGCTGTGATTTACATCAAAGAATGTTCTGCCTATGTTTTCCTTTAAGAGTTTGATAGTGTCTGGCCTTACATTTAGGTCTTTAATCCATTTTGAGTTTACTGTTTGTGTATGGTGTTAGGGAGTGTTCTAATATCATTCTTTTACATGTAGCTGTCCAGTTTTCCCAGCACCACTTATTGAAGAGGCTGTCTTTTCTCCATTGTATATTCTTGCCTCCTTTATCAAAGATAAGGTGACCATACGTGTGTAGGTTTATCTCTGGGCTTTCTATCCTGTTCCATTGATCTATATTTCTTTTTTTTTGCCAGTACCATACTGTCTTGATTACGGTAGCTTTGTAGTATAGTCTGAAGTCAGGGAGTCTGACTTCTCCAGCTCTGTTTTTCTTTCTCAAGATTGCTTTGGCTATTTGGGGTCTTCTGTGTTTCCATACAAATTGTGCAATTTTTTGTTCTACTTCTGTGAAAAATGCCATTGGTAGTTTGATAGGAATTGCACTGAATCTGTAGATTGCTTTGGGTAATAGAGTCATTTTCACAATGTTGATTCTTCCAATCCAAGAACACGGTATATCTCTCCATCTGTTTGTATCATCTTTAATTTCTTTCTTCAGTGTCTTATAGTTTTGTGCATACAGGTCTTTTGTCTCCTTAGGTAGGTTTATTCCTAGGTATTTTATTCTGTTTGTTGCAATGGTAAATGAGAGTGTTTCCTTAATTTCTCTTTCAGATTTTTCATCATTACTGTATAGAAATGCAAGAGATTTCTGTGCATTAATTTTGTATCCTGCAACTCTACCACACTCATTGATTAGCTCTAGTCGTTTTCTGGTAGCATCTTTAGGATTCTCTATGTATAGTATCATGTCATCTGCAAACAGTGACAGTTTTACTTCTTCTTTTCCAATCTGGATTCCTTTTCTTTCTTTTTCTTCTCTGATTGTTGGGGCTAAAACTTCCAAAACTATGCTGAATAATAGTGGTGAGAGTGGGCAGCCTTGTCTTGTTTCTGATCTTAGAGGAAATGCTTTCAGTTTTTCACCATTGAGAACAATGTTGGCTGTGGGTTTGTCATATATGGCCTTTATTATGCTGAGGTAAGTTCCCTCTATGCCTACTTTCTGGAGGGTTTTTTATCATAAATGGGTGTTGAATTTTGTCAAAAGCTTTTCTGCATCTATTGAGATGATTATATTGTTTTTCACCTTCAATTTGTTAATATGGTGTATCACATTGATTGATTTGTATATACTGAAGAATCCTTGCATTCCTGGGATAAACCCCACTTGATCATGGTATATGATCCTTTTAATGTGCTGTTGGATTCTGTTTGCTAGTATTTTGCTGAGGATTTTTGCATCTATGTTCATCAGTGATACTGGCCTGTAGTTTTCTTTCTTTGTGACATCTTTGTCTGGTTTTGGTATCAGGGTGATGGTGGCCTCGTAGAATGAGTTTGGGAGTGTTCCTCCCTCTGCTATATTTTGGACGAGTTTTAGAAGGATAGGTTTTAGCTCTTCTCTAAATGTTTGATAGAATTCGCCTGTGAACCCATCTGGTCCTGGGTTTTTGTTTGTTGGAAGATTTTTTATCACAGTTTCAATTTCAGCGCTTGTGATTGGTCTGTTTATATTTTCTATTTCTTCCTGGTTCTGTCTCGGAAGGTTGTGCTTTTCTAAGAATTTGTCCATTTCTTCCAGGTTGTCCATTTTATTGGCATACAGTTGCTTGTAGTAATCTCTCATGATCCTTTGTATTTCTGCAGTGTCAGGTGTTACCTCTCCTTTTTCATTTCTAATTCTATTGGTTTGAGTCTTCACCCTTTTTTTCTTAATGAGTCTGGCTAATGGTTTATCAATTTTGTTTATCTTCTTAAAGAACTAGCTTTTAGTTTTACTGATCTTTGCTATTGTTTTTTCGTTTCTTTTTCATTTATT